GGAAGTGGATGACGACAAATGTTTTACTTTTAAACTCGGACAAAACAGAGAGGCTAGTTCTAGGTCCCAAGAAACAAAGAAATCTGCTATTTGATCTGACAATGAATCTTGACGGCTCTACAGTCGTCTCAAATAAAACGGTGAAGGACCTCGGCGTTACTCTGGACCCTGAACTCTCTTTTAACAAACATATCAAGAATATTTCAAAGGCAGCTTTTTCCATCTTCGTAACATTGCAAAAATCAGCAACTTTTTGTCCAACAATGATGAAGAAAAGCTAATCCATGCTTTTGTCACTTCTAGATTAGACTACTGCAATACTCTACTCTCCGGCTACCTGGATAAATCAATGAATAAACTTCAGTTAGTGCTAAATACGGCTGCTAGAATTTTGACTAGAACCAACAAATTCGATCATATCACTCCAGTGGTTTCCTGTTAAGGCTAGGGCTGATTTCAAGGTTTTACTGCTAACCTACAAAGCATTACATGGACTTGCTCCTATCTATCTCTCCGATTTGGTCCTGCCGTACATACCTACACGTAAGCTACGGTCACAAGATGCAGGCCTCCTTATTGTCCCTAGAGTTTCTAAGCAAACAGCTGGAGGCAGGGCTTTCTCCTATAGAGCTACATTTTTATGGAATGGTCTGCCAATCCATGTGAGAGACGCAGACTCGGTCTCGATCTTTAAGTCTTTACTGAAGACTCATCTCTTCAGTTGGTCCTATGATTGAGTGTAGTCTGGTGTAGGGGTACGAAGGTGAACGGCAAGGCACTGGAGCGACAAACTTCCCTGGCTGTCTCTGCCTGGCCGGCTCCCCACTCTCCACTGGAATTCTCTGACCCTATTACGGGGGCTGAGTCACTGGCTTACTAGTGCTCTCCCATGCCGTCCCTAGGAGGGGTGCGTCACGTCATGCCAGGCTTTTTTCGCTGTACTCGAGTTGAATGGGTTGAGTCACTGACATTATCTTCCTGTCCGGTTTTGCACCCCCTAGGGCATTTGCGGTGGAGGAGATCTTCGTGGGCTATACTCAGCCTTGTCTCAGGGTAGTAAATTGGTGGTCTGTTGATATCCCTCTAGTGGTGTGGGGGCTGTGCTTTGGCAAAGTGGGTGGAGTTATATCCTGCCTGGTTGGCCCTGTTCGGGGGTATCGTTGGACAGGGCCACAGTGTCCCCCAACCCCCCCCCGTCTCAGCCTCCAGTATCTATGCTGCAATAGTCAATGTGCCGGGGGGCTAGGGTCACTCTGTCCTATCTGGTGTAATTCTCATTTCTTATCTGGTGTCCTGTGTGAACTTAAGTATGCTCCCTCTAATTCTCCCATCTATCTCTTCCCTCCCCTGAGGACCTGAGCCCTAGGACCATGCCTCAGGATTACCTGGCCTGATGACTCCTGGCTGTCCCTGTCCCCAGTCCATCTGGTCGTGCTGCTGATCCAGTTTCTGCTGTTTTGCCTGTGGCTATGGAGTCCTGGCCTGTTCACCAGATGTGCTACCTTGTCCCGGATCTTCTGTTTTCGACCCTCTATTGCTCTACCTCCCTCCCTCTCTCTCTCCCTCTCTACCGCAACTGCTGTCTCGACCTCTGAATGCTCGGCTATGAAAAGCCAACTGACATTTACTCCTGAGGTGCTGACCTGTTGCACCCTCTACATCCACTGTGATTATTATTTGACCCTGCTGGTCATCTATGAACGTTTGAACATCTTGAAGAACAATCTGGCCTTAATGGCCATGAACTCTTATAATCTCCACCCGGCACAGCCAGAAGAGGACTGGCCACCCCTCAGAGCCTGGCTCCTCTCTAGGTTTCTTCCTAGGTTCCTTTCTAGTGAGTTTTTCCTAGCCACCGTGCTTCTACATCTGCATTGCTTGCTGTTTGGGGTTTTAGGCTGGGTTTCAGTATAAGCACTTTGTGACATCTGCTGATGTAAAAAGGGCTTTATAAATACATTTGATTTGATTTTGGTTACTCATTGATATGCTGCTGTTGAAACGTTATACTGAGTGCACATCAATACTAGGTATAACTCCAGTAACAGTAATTTCTCTTTCACACAGTCAGTCTCTTCACAATGATAATGTTGTCGGGAGATATTGGAGAGCAAATTAGTTTAGAGAAATATGAGAAGGGGAAATATTATGAGTGAGAGAGAGGATAGAGTGTGTGAAATATAATTGTTGATAGAGTAAATCAACAGAGAAAGGGTCTGAGACTAGGGTGTGCATGCGTGTTCGTAGATGTATGTTACATTGAATTTGTTTGTCACTAAGTGAGTGATAGAAGGATTGAGAGAGAGAGACAAGGAGGTTGATGAGTAATCGTTTTTCTTCGCAGTGCACAGAACTGGCAGGCGCTCCTCCTGTGGCAATCCCCTTATCTCTCTCTGCGTCAGCCAGGACCTTCATTTAATCAGAGAGAGAAGGATGCGCAGTATTACCACTGGCTATAATGCAGTCAGGGAGGAGTGGATGCACTGCCATACTGACAGCACATAGAGCACCACAATGGAATATACCCTACTAAACCTTTATACCAAACCATATACAAAAAAAAATATATATACAATCATTCTAGCTATACTGTAGCTAACCTTTAACAAAACCTACATTTTTCTGGGTCAGGTCCCCGTGTCAGAATGAACTCCATGCAATGCCATACATGCCAAATAAGGCATTAAGTACCACTCCAAGCCTTAGATGGCACACCAGACCATCCAACATGTTGCAGCTCTTCATCAACTTTGAAGTATTTTTTGATACAGTAATGTATTATCCATAGACCCCAACAGTACAACGCAACCCAACCCCAACTTTGTCCCTAATAGATCCCCTCGCGCTGGTCTAATCCTTTCACGCATTTCAGTTAAACCTCGCCATGCATGCCTTTTAAATTAGGGGGGCTCATTTTGTCAGCACCGCCGCCCCACAAAGCTCTGACTGGTAGTGCCATCTTATGGAGATAATTTGCTACTACAGTTTCTTAGTAAGTCGCAGTCCAGGACCCTTTTCTAATACTTCAGAAATGCATCTTTCCTTCCTATTTTCCTTGAAGTAATCAGAGATTTCAATTAGTTGGATTGCTGAACGTAATGGGGTGGTAACATTTCTTACACCTATCCAATCACTTATACATTTGTGCTTACCTTAAAGACGCAAGGAATAAAGGATGCATTTCAAAGATATTCAAGGAAACAAGGAAGGAAGGATGCATTTCTGTATTCGAACATGGCCCGGTCTCTCTCATTACATATCACAATGCTGAGCACATCTGACTGCAGCATTCTGTCACTGACAGGAGAATAATTCCCTATGTGAATTAATGTTTCCAGTCGCATAATTACCAACCCTGTTGAAGCACTGTTCAGACCAGAGAGGTCACACTTACCCCTGTGTTGCATTCTTATAGTCTAATATGTTATTATGTGGGCCCAAATATACATACCAGCAGTACATGTATTTTTGTTACAAATAATTATTTGTTCATACAGTATGTATCATTTTCTATGCAAAACTAGTACAATAAATACATGAAACAAGTCAATAAATCAATTCAGGATGACTGTTTATCCTGGCTATAACTGATTACCCTCCTCCTGTCTTTCAGTTTAGCAAGGTTTGGAGACGGTGATCCCTGGAGTCCCTCTACGACCTCACTACATAGATCTTTCCCCCTGATAGAGAGTTGTGGTATGGTGTTGAGGTCCTTATACCTATGTTGTGTACTGTACAGTATGTGCTTCTGGACATACGATCTGAACGGTATGTGCTGGACATACAGTAGTGGCACTAACAGCCATCCCCATGCACTCACTGTATAAGGTTCTGCATTGGGCAGCGGACGTATAAAATATTTGCATGCATGATCAATTTTTTTTTTAAACTTTCCGATACAAGAGAAAGTGACATTTACTTTTGATTCAACTTGATTTTGAGTTTTTATAAATCATTCATTAATAAGTCTCCCCAGCAACAATTGTAATAATATCGCCTTTAGAATGGAAGACATCAAGTACATTTCTAAAATGTCTACATTTCACCTTCCTTCTGCCAAGAAGACACCTTTATTTAGGGCAATGTACAGAAGTCACACTTACTTTTGCATAGCCGCTTTTTATAGCGGCTTTAAAATAGACTTTGCATTAACTCAAACGACACAGGTTGGATCTTGCTCAAGGGTACATTACCGTTGTGTTATAGACCCTGTGAATAGATCCTGCAAGTCCAGTTGCTTAGCTGTAATCAGATAATACTGTCTCCTACACAAACCCAGATTGACATGGATAAACTGTGGGTTTGAAGGTGTCAGCAGAGGCAGAGTATGCGTTTGCCCCTTGCCGTTACTCGATCTTACTCAGCCTACGTCACACCAAGGCTATATGCAGAGTTTCTTATTTGAAGTGTTGCAGCCACAATTCTTTAATCAAAAAATACTAGCAGAAGCCGCAGGAATCTACCTCCACCCCCTTTCCTGACATAACCTCGTACGCAGTCATGTGCCTCTAGTTCTTTTTTTTAATGTCATTAACAGGTGGTTGTCAAAAATAGAATGAAGAAACACACACACACACACACACACACACACACACACACACACACACACACACACACTATCAGGTGCACCCACACACACAAACACACATGCACACACATGCACACACATATACTAACGGGTGCATGCTCACACACACATACACAGACACGCATACGCACACGCGCATGCACACACACACCACGCACACACACACACACACACACACAGAGACACAGAGTGATATAGAGACAACACACTCATTACGCATATTCTCGCAAATACATTTTACAGGGCCCAGCAAAGACAGATAGATCAAGCACAACCGTACGTGCATGTCTAAACAAACATATACACTTTCAAACACCACACAGGCATAGGCGTGTGGCCACATAGCTACTAAACCCACCCACTCACCAACTCCCTGCAACACAAGGCTACTTTGGCCTCCACCCTCTTTCCACTGCCCTTACCTCCCCTCCTCTCTTTCTCCGCGGCCCCTCTCTCGCTCACTCATTCTCTTCGCCTCGCCCTATTTCATTCCGAACTGAACCACACACACCAAACAGGTCAGCAACTTCTTCATATCATTGTTATGATTCGTAACGTGACCATGACTGAGTGTATAGTAAAGCAAAATGAGTACAAATTAATTAATTTGTGTCCGTTGTAGATATTGAATTACAGCATTGTAAAATAAATTGAATTGCTTACGCTCAAATGATGGCCTTGAATGTTGCTCTGGGGTGTCTGCATTTGCTGCCGTTCGTGTTTGTGTTTTTGTGTATTTCAATTTCATACTGATCACACTGTTGTATATTTCAATGGGTATTGTAATTGAATAAGTTGATTTGGATTGAATATTGCGAGGTACTTTAAGTATTCAAGACTGAATCATAGAGGACTGTTTTGCATCTGTAATTTTAGTATTTATGGTTCAGAGCTTCTTCTCGCTAAACTGTCAATTTGTATATCATGCGAGGGTAACGGTAATGCTGTGCAAATATTCTTGATGGAGCCTTTTCATTGTCTTATTTTTAGTTGGCATACTAGTTGCTTAGACTTCTTTGTAAGATAGCTATGTGTAGGATAATTACTACTGTTGTCCATCTTTCAGTCTACAGTAAATATAGACATAGTTCTTTAAGATGTGTAAAAGTGACTAACACAACTCTGACTTAATGATAATAACTTAAGTACATACAAGTGGAGGCTCCTCAGAGAATTTCATAGAAATAGTGAAACATTAAACAAAGCTGTCATTTTTAGATTAAACTATACTAAATATATTCACATCACCAAATAATTGATTAAAACACACTGTTTAGCTATGAAGGTCTACAGTAGCCTCAACAGCACTCTGTAGGGTAGCACCCTAGTGTAGCCGGAGGACAGCTAGTTTCCTCCTCCTCTGAATACATTGACTTCAATACAAAACCTAGGAGGCTGATGGTTCTCACCCCCTTCCATAGACTTACACAGTAATTATGGCAACTTCCGGAGGATGTCCTCCAACCTATCAGAGCTCTTGCAGCATGAACTGACATTTTGTCCACCCAATCAAAGGATCAGAGAGTTAATTTAGTACTGAAAGCATAAGCTACAGCTAGCTTGCACTGCAGTGCATAACATGTGGTGAGTAGTTGACACAAAGAGAGAGAAAGACAATATTTAAACAGTTTTTAACAAAAAAAATCTTCAAAAATGAAGAAAGAGCGAGAGGGAGAGAGAGAGCTAGCTATATTTCGTAGTATTTTTTTCACTTACTTAGCTAGCTTAGCTAGCTAGATAGTTTAGCCTACTCAAACACCTGGCTCAAACAGAGAGGGGTGCTAGGTTAGCTAGCTGGCTATAGCTATCCAACACTGGAACTCTTCCAAGTAAAGGTAAGCTTTTGGTTTTATTAATTTATTGCCACTGGGGCCCGCCGGTGTAACTGCTAAACTGATTGCTGACTGTACACTGGACTGCATGATTGTAGCAGGTTTACTAATGCGTTAGTTGTATTAGCTATGTTGACTATGATGTTAGATAATATAGTGACGGCTGTGTGTAGCAGTTAGTGGTTATGTTATGAAGGGTTGGCTTGGAACATTTTTTTTCCGCCTGGTCAAAGACAGCTAAAGTGTTGTGCACTGAAGTCAGCTAGCGAAGGGAAAAGTTGAGAGAGGAGGAGCACACGTAGATGCGAGAAGGAATTACAATGAGCAAAGTGATCATGCTGTTTGTATGTGGCTGCTATGAAAGTGAGCTGTGTTTGGCGTGTGATCGGTTGTATTCATTCGGCCGATTCTGTTGAAAAATGTTTCTTAAATGGAAGCAAACAGAACGAAACGGGGATAAACATACCCATATTTGTCCAATAGAAACTCTTGTTTTCAACTGTTGGACTAATGATTACACCCTAGATCAGCTAGATGCAGGCAAGACTGTGCAAGGTGGTATTGAATGTGTCACTATCTGTCACCTTGATTACAGAACATTCTCTCAACCTGTGCACCTACGTTGTAAACTTTTATTCATAGGCTAGGTTGTAGCAACATCATGATGGGTATAGGGAAAATATGAGTAGCATTTAGTAGCCTAAACCTATCGATGTTACATTGAGCTGGGTGAATGAAATTTGAATGACAGTCATCCAATATGCTGTAATAGAAATAATATGCAATTTATTTATTTTTTAACGTATGGGTGGTCCCGGGGATCGAACCCACTACCCTGGCGTTACAAGCGCCATGCTCTACCAATTGAGCTACAGAGGACCACGCTCATAAAACATTTCTGCGTCCTTCCTCATCTTAAATGGCACCGACCGCCACTGATGCACACAATATTTGCTATGAAAGGTGAAAAAGTGTCAATTTAGCACTCATTGACGTGCTGGTGCTGGTTCAGACTTGATATCCAACCATGCAGTTGGAAATGATTCTGTGCCGCATTAAATTGTCCATCATATAGCCGTCAAGATTAAAATGATATTTGCCATGTTGTATTTGATCAGACTCTAAATTGAGTTTGTACTAACATTGTGATGGATTAAAGTCAGTAGATGTTCTTAAAACTCATTGTTGTTTTTTTCTTCGTTTTTTTCTAGAATAAGCTGCTTTCTCCCTGCTGGCTTCTCCTCCATATCTCTGTTTCCCAACATCTACCCGGAAGCTTCCTCTCTTTTTGATATTTTTGTCTAATCTATTCTATCTTTTAACTAATTTTTCATTATGACCCGCTCATCATTGCATACTTCTTCCAAACCACCTTTTACATCAAGCTTTCGATGTCTGGTGTTAATACCTAACAATTAATGATTTGTGCCGACACATAAAAAAACACAAATATATATATATATATGTTTTCTGCACTGATAAGCCTTAACATGCCTTATTATTTTTGATGGTGGGTTTGGTATGTTTGGTTTATGAACTGAGTCATCAGTGCTGCTAATTCCCATTTCCCTTATTTTCCTGTCCTCCCACATCTTCCTGTTTCCCTCCCTCCATCCCTCTTGCCTCACCAATCCCTGTCCACCATCCTTTCTATCGCGCCACTGCCACCTCACCATACAAACCCATTCCCTGTCTCCTACACTCTCTACCTGTCTTTATCCATTATTCATCTAATTTTTTTTCTCAATCGTAAACATCTGCAAAGCTATGTGGTCCACCTTCTTTCTGCACGAAGAGGATGGCAGGCCAATTCCACCAGGGGCGGGAGTAGGACCAGGAGCAGGACCCCTGGGACTGACAGGTGTCATGGGTGGCAGAGGGGCTGGGGCTGGTGCTATGGGAGTTAAGCGCCGGGCAAAAGCGTCAACATCAGGAGGCATGAGCGAGGTCCAGGAGGGCAAGATCAAGCTGGCGTTCTTCGTGGCCATCGTGGGTGTGGTGTTGACTGTCTTGGGCTTGGGCACAGAGTATTGGGTGGAGCTGTCCCCGCCAAAGACCTTCTACAACAACCAGACGTGTCTGGCAGCCCACTACGGGCTGTGGAAAGGATGCACCCGGACTCTGTGGGTGGCTGACATAAGCCCTGAGCGAGAGAGCTGTGGGCCGGCTGAACTGCCCGGAGGTGAGTGCTCTGGGGGTGACTGCTCTGGGGCTGCATGAATAGGCCTACATTATTTTGTGTAAACCAAACGGCATCCACTCAAACTCATACAATCCAATCTGTACAAAACCACCTATCAGAAATCACATAGACCCATTTTTTGCATACCAGCAAATTGTGTAAACCAAACAGCATTCACACAAACTCATACATTCAAAACTATACAAAATACTCTCTTGAGAAATCCTATGGACCCTTCTATGACAGATTTTAAAGGGGAAGTTTAGCCACATTTCAGGATCCCAAATCTCAAGGCCAGAAGTGACAATTATGATTACTTAGCTATAGCCCCCACCGTTAGATACGGCTAGATATCTTTGTGTCCAGAATCCAATCACTGGATGCAGGTGTAGACTGTCTATCAGGTGTAGACTGGGTCACAGATGGACTGCAATATACATTTACATTCTGTAGGGATAGATGCTTTCCTTAAACTCACACACCGATTACTCCCAAATACTGTACTAAAATGGCTTACTAGAGAGGGCAGTGCTGCAGTATATTTTTATGGTAGTCTATATGTTGGATAATCTACATTTATCAGACTACAAGATGCCATAACACTAATTGCATAGAAGAGATAACCTTGGCATTGTCATCGATGTGCATGAATGCATAATAATTAGTGTGCAGCAAGCCGTATGAATCTCAATAAAATTATGGTGATGTGCAAGTTGATAAGGTCTCCCTCCATCTGTTTTAAATAAGTTCCTTGTCTCCCCCCATCTCCTCAAGAATCTAACTGCACCTACTTCAAGTTCTACACCACTGGAGAGAATGCCGTCATCTTCCAGAAGACAACAGAAAAGAGTGAGTCAGCTTGTCCCATGCCCTCTTTCAACCCATGTCTCACCTTGCCCACCCACACGCTTTCTTTCTTCCTCGAGTCTGTCATCTATATTTCACTGGGTCAGCCATTGACTGCAGAGAGTGTCTAAAATGTATTCCTCCTACTCCTTTTCCATTATAGCATTGAAGTCAGTAAGACAGTGTTTCTTCATGGGTCCATGTGGACAAACTGAAATCCAGTTTTTTTCTTGAGCTGTAAACCAGAGGTGTCATGTACCACATTTAAGATGGCCAGATTCTATATCTTTGGATTCGTTATGCGCAAAATAAACTATATTCTGTATTTTTAGTTAGTTTCAATGGGCATGATGCCCTACATGTCAGGAGTGCGACATTTAACATTTCTATTATCCTCTAGGCATGTCAGTAACCCCTAGGGCAGCATTTCCCAAACTCGGTCCTGGGGACCCCAAGGGGTGCACATTTTGTTTTTTGTCCTAGCACAACACAGCTGATTCAAATAATCAACTCATCATCAAGCTTTGATTATTTGAATCAGCTGTGTATTGCTAGGGCAAAAACCAAAACGTGCACTACTTGGGGTCCCTAGGACCGAGTTTGGGAAAAGCTGCCCTAGAGTATGTCAGTGAGGGGATGTACCAGTATCTGTTAGAATTATAAATGGATGCCAGGACCTTACCTTTTTGTAGATTGGCCATTTTGAAGATGGTTTCACTTATGTGGTTACTTTACTTACCTTAGTTGAATGCACTCGTTGCAAGTCACTCTGGATAAGAGGGTCTGCTAAATTACTCAAATGTAAATGTACCTGGTGCCAGTGTACTATGAATAATGGAATGTACCTGTATCAAGACAATAACCGTTTCTCTCTTCCCAGGTCTGAATGTGGCGGCAGCCATGATGGCCCTCTTCAGTCTCTTCCTGATGGTAATGGGGGCCATATGCATCACCACGGCCCTCAGCAAAGGAGAATCGTTCTTCCTCAAGCCTGCATCGGTTTGCTTCATTCTGTCAGGTGAGTGAGTAGACATATGACAGCCAAGGTGACATACTGTACATGTATAACTACAATGATAAAATGTTACTATTTTGACATGTCTAATGAGACCATGGGAAGATCTCAAATGCGTACTCCTCACGTCCTCTCTCCTCGTCTCCTCCTCAAAACCCATTGGAGGAGAAGGTCAGAGGGGAGAGACCTCTGGCTTTGTCATCCAATGGGTTTTGAGAAGGAGAAGAGAGGAGAAAGTTGCGGAGAGTCAGGAGTCAGTTAGGAGTCAACCTGTGCATGCAGCAAAAAAAAAGCTACCGGTACTCAACACTTTCAAAAACATATAGCCGTTATTCAAGTGTATCAAGGGAGGGCTCACTAATTAGATATACAGGGCATTAGTCATGGCATCTGTCCAGTCCTGATATACTCTGAGGCTCTGGGAAGTAGATGAGGAAAAGGTCACAGTTATCGATACCATCTCCACCATCCCACCAGTAAGATGTATTTACTAACTCCACACACACCAAGCCCCTGATATCGCTCTTTTTTGTTCTTTCTCTCTCTCTTTCTCTATCACTCTTTCCTCCTCTCTCTTAGGCCTCCTGATGCTCCTATCTCTTATTCTTTTCAACCAATCGGTCCTCTCCTTCCTAGCCAGTGACCACTCGGTGCCGTTGCATCACGAGTTGTCTTGGTCAGTATCCTGTGTTGGGTGTGCAGGGGCCATTCTTATTTTGGGCGGAATCCTCTTTCTCTTGCTTGCACTACCATTCAGCCCCTGGCGAAAGTGTTTTCCCCCAAAAAATGAAAGTGACAGCTAGTGGCGAGGAGGAGGTATTGCACTTTATCTGTATCGTCTTATAACTGTTGAGAAATGGACAGTATCCTGCAATTTTACATTGAATCATTTGAAGTTGTGTAGAGAGGGGTTCAAGTTGTTCATCGTCTTGAATGTTTTTTCTCTCCTTATTTTGCATAAATCCGTAGGTCATTGAAGGGACACTATACTGCTCTTGACTTATGAAAGGTGAAGAATTAACTCAATGCCTAATTCTTGGGAGAATCAAAGGTGTTAGTTGACAGCAAATGTTTTCTCACATTGCATGTGTAAAATGTTATATGCCGGTATGTTCAAACGTCTCTCCAAGTGTGAAATTCAATTGAATTCAAAATAATTTTAAATGAATTTAACAAAAACAACAGTTTGCAGTTGTGTATTGAATTGGTGAACATTACTTCTTAATTATTTTTGCCCAAACTTTGATGATATTGTGATCGACAGTCTTATTAGAGAGTATAATCCTAAGGATAGTAATTGGGATTCAGATGTATTACATAGAACAAAGGTACAGTACAAAACGTATAGAGTTTCTAGTAAATAAATACATGCACAACCCCATGGTATTGCAATGTTTTTACAACTGCCTTTAATATACAGATGTATATATATCAAAGAGACAATAGCCTCTAAAATCCAAATGTTTTCAGACCTCAAAGGTAATATCAAGATTAGTCTACGTCCCAGGCCATCATGTTTTGTAGATTCAGTTATATGCCACAACATAAAAGTAATGAACCATGTAAATTCCAGATCTGCGGTGCTTATGTTATTCATGAATTTGTGTAGCATCCCTACCGATGGCGTGGGATGTGTGGACTCATATTAAATATTAGACTACTTTCGAGGTCTGAAAACATCTGACAAATTTTGATTTTGCAGTCTAATGTCCCTTAACATTTTAGATACACCATCTGCTCTTGGTGTGTGGGTGACTATATTATAGAAATAGCAATAAATTATTAAAGCGGCACTGCCTAAAAACATCTCTGCCTGAAAGGACAGGCAATTTCATCGTAAACCTTATTAAAGAGGTAAAGTGCTACAATGTTGCAGCATTTAGCTACTAACCAGGTATATAAGGTTGCATTGTAAATACACTATTCAAAGTCATATGAGCCTTCAGTGTTGTAAATGAATAACGTAAAAACATTTCATGTGTTGAGTGTAACCCAAATGTCACACGTTTATACTGTAAGATTTTTCTTTCAAGAGAGATACTTGTCAGAGGTATTCTGTGCATATCGGTATTTCAATGGGTATTGGAAGGTGAATTGTGTCTGTGGTTTTCATTGGAAATAATTGTGTATGTAAGACTTGATTTAATTATTAAATGTGAAGACAACATATCCCTTTCTTGTGCTTTTTTTCTGTATTTTTTCCACTCCTCCCTCCTCCATCGTTCATCTCTCCATCATCTTAAACACACATTCAGTCACCATCTTGACCTCTTTCCAGCTTTCTCTGTCTCCACTGTCTCCCACATGTTGGCACCCTCCGCCGCTAAATTTAGAGCGTGGCGAATACTGCTGAAGTGGTTATAAGAAACACAAACCTTGGATTCAAACTGTGATCCCCATCTCCAACATCGTCCAATTCAAACAAACCCCCCACCTCCCCCACCACCACCTCAGCCCACCCTTCCCACAGGTTTTTATTCCATCTCGCTTGCCGAAGTCAGTCTGGTCTGGTCCTCATGTAGGCCTATCATGTGTCTCTATAAATGCCACACACACTGTCACTCATGTCTCACCCCGCCTGGTGGCTGCTCCTGTGGGACGGGGTCCAGACGATTGGTGGTGGGGTCTATGCTGTGTTAACCTCTACCCCCGTTCTCCCCCCTCCTGTCCTGGCCCACTTCGCATGCAGCCCTGAAACACGAACCAACCATCGCTAGACACCTGACACTCGGCCCAAGCTGTATATTTAGATGTTAATCGCTTTCAAATGGAGCCGTTGCTCGCTTCTGAAAGAGTGTGTGTGTGGGGGTCCGGTGGTGGGAGTGTTTCTCTGAATTCCTGTTGTTGAAGTGTGTGTGCATGTCGGTGTGGGTATGTGAAGTGATTGTGTCTGATTGTTTACAATGCATTTGCTTTCAAGTGTGTATAGCCTGTAAATGCTTGAGTCCGGGTGAGTGTGTGTGTGATGGTGATCATGGGTGTTACGACCTTTTGTGTATGTGTGTGTCAGCAAGGATCAAGAGGTAATAAGAAGAACTGGCCTCTCTTGACGTTACCAAAAAAGAAGAGGCCCGGCCACCTCATAACTCACCTTGTTATGATGGTAGCACTGAGCCAGCAGGGTTTACAGGTCTCCTATCCACGCCACTGGTCCCTCTTCCACTTGGGGTGCTTTCTGGGGACGAGGTGCACGTTGACATTTTTCACACTATCATGCCAACCCAACTCAATATATTTTCTTTTCACATTCTCCTTTATAGCACGGTTCCAGCAACTGTGATTGATGCGTAACCAGACCAGCACAGTGCATAGTTGCTTTCTGAGGGCAACAGACCCACAGAGACTGCAGCACCAGGGTTGTGTTCAGTAGGGGGAAAACATTTGGAAACATTTTGAAACAGGGAGATATTACCTGACCTTGTCCAATAAGAAACACACTAATGTTTTAAAACGTTTCGCTAAAGTGTGCCCTACTGAACACAACACAGGGCTCCCCAAAGAGAAAGGACTAATTCAACTCCCCAACTAAATCACACATTAACTGTGCACTCCATGCTGTTGAACAAATAGAGCATCCCCCTCCCTCCCTAGCTCTCTTCCTCCTCCAAAGTCATTACTTTAATGAGATTAAACAGTCACTTTCCCCCTGGACAGATCGTCATCATCATTTCCATCCCAAGAGTGAAGAGATTCAGTGTTATTCAATTATTATTAATTAACTGCCGTTGTAGTCATGTGTTAAGGAAATCTGCTGCTTTCCTGGGCCTGCATCTCTTAGCCTCAGCTTTCATCTACGTGACCTCTGACCTCTGACCCAATATCTACTGGACAATCAAGGTCACCTGTTGAGGTATTGAAGAGACATTACACTCCAAAATCAAGTTTTTCAGATGTTTTCTGTTACCTCAAAAGGGGTCTTCTGTTGAAATGAGTACATGTCCGATGCTATCTGTTTTGTAGCTCCAGCTATATGAATGGAAAAGATGAGCGCCATGTAATTACCAGATATGCGGTGGCAAACATTTTGGCATTCATTTGTTGTATTACCATCTTGGTTAGATGTTAAATAACACACTCCACACAACACATTTTCATATATAAGTTTATTGAATATATTTTTTGTATTTATTTTTGAGGCTCAGAATTGTGTATTGCTTAAACATCACAAATGTCCTTAGTTTGATTCATGTGCAGTAGAGTAGAAATATCATGTATCATGAAGAGATCGTTGTCTTCTTCAGTCACAGGATCACAGGTTTTCAGCCCCCTAACCCCAAGGTAGGCCCTTTAATGCAGCGGTTCTTAACTGGTTTTGCCTCGGGACCCAAATTAAACCAGATTATCCCAGTCGCGATCCAATATTCGCATAGTGTAAAAAAACAAACGCCAAAATGTAATCTGGAATTTCTTTTTTATGCTATATTCATAGTAATTGTAGCAAATTATATGACTAAGGAAATAAGTCAATTTTGCCCATATTCTTTATGAAGAATGTTGATAAGCTCACTGGTTTGAGACCACAAAATCAACCAAATCCGCTAAATAGCCCTGCTAGCTCTATTTTGAAAATACTATGATTGAAGAAAAATATTTAAGAGATTCAATTATTTAATCACTTACTACCTGGTTTTAGTTGTTTAGTCATTTAAGTTCAGACTGCGACCCATTCAAAGCCTCCCGTGACCCAAATTTGGGTCGCGACCCATCAGTTGAGAATCGCCGCTTTAAAGAATAACATTAAGAATATATACCATTGCTAAAATAAATAGATTCATATAAAGTCTATAATCTAATACACTTGTCAGGAACAATAAAAACACAGATTAGGCTATGTTGGTTATATCCGTATTAGCAAACAAAAATAATAGCCTTAAAAATGTGATAATAACAATAAGTATAACAATAATAATAATAATAGCGACTTATTATTAATAGTAATAATAAATAAAATATATTTAAAATAAAATATAAATACAATATTACACTCATATTTTCACACATGCTTTCCACATGACACCATCGGATTAAGTGTGATGGAGCTAGAAATCAATGAAAATTCTCAACTTTACAGAAATACAAAAATACAAAAATCATAGTTCAAAATGTTCAAATTTACCCTGCATTTACAAATACGAGAATAAAAACAACAGCAATGTGATCATATTCAAGAAGTTACAATCTTTACAGTCTTGTAACCTGGCTATGATAATCAAGCACTCGGAATGATATATTGTGCATTTCAGAATGAATATATACTGAATAATATTGTTAATAATACATTTGATATTCTAGTCAGTGGAATAGATGTATTCAGAGTAGTCAAAAACAGACTGGAATGGCCAATTATTCTCGTTCAGTTATCTTACATTTTTCTACGGCCCTTTTTGGTAACACTTTACAGAAGCCCTGTCATACAGTCCTCAAACGATCAATGTCATAATCAGTCATAAACACGAATACATTAGGTAATCAAACACTAGTATGTCGCATACAGCAAGTATGTGCAAGCTAACTATGGGTACTAGCTAACTAGAGAATTGAGGCCACTGTATAAGCCGTCATGACCATGTTAAGGCAGTTGTCAAGAATTTACACTAGTTGTCCTGACTGCTTATAAAAGTTATTACGTATGGCAGCGAAAAGTAGGCTGTACGACAGGGAGTTACTATAAAGCGTTACTCGCCATTTTGCCCTCCACCTCCATGGCTCTTGCTCCTATCTCAGAGGCTCACACTGGCGTGGTTCTCCTGTTCAGCGTGTCCGAGTCGGTGTCCCTGTTCCGTTTGCCCCCCAGGCGGTCCAGGGTGCCCATGCCCCTCTCTCTCTCCATGGTGCCGGTGGGTAGAGGTGGCTGTTGGGGGGCAGGCCCGGAGGACGACAAGGTATTCAGGGGCGCAATAGCAGTGGCGCCGGCCGCGGCATTCTGGCCCACCGCAGAGAGGTTGGACTTGGAGAGAGAAGGCAGCGTGCCGCTCATCATCACCCCCACTTCCTCTTTGGGGAAGTAGTTGTGCAGCTGGTAGAGGGAGGCCCGGTCCCCCGTGCCGTAGAGGGGGGGCCCACCGCCACCAAGACTCCCCATCTTGGAGTCCCGGGTCAGGGTATACATGGAGATATCACCCCCTACTCCTCCACCAGGATGGTGCGGGTTGGGCAGGGTGGCCACGGAGAAAGGCGGAGCAGATGGCGGTAATGCAAAACACTTGGCGCCTGTGGGTGAGGTGTCGCAGGGGGAGCCAGGCGGGTCGGTAGAGTGAGAGCTGGAGCGGGAGCGCCGGCGGAAGCGGTAGCTGGGAAGGCGGAGCATGGCGTGCGTGGTGCTCTTCAAGAGTTCGGTGCGAGAGCGGCAGCGCAGCTCCTTGTTCTTCTCGATGTAGATGTTGACGGCCAGGACGCCCACCATCTCAGCCAGGATGAAGGAGAGGCCTCCGAAGTAGAAGGACCAGCCGTACGAGTAATGCCACTTCTTGTCCTCGTCCTTCTTGGGTGAGATGTCGCTCAGCGCCGCAGAGATGTACACGATCACGCCAATGATGTTGCTCAGGCCTGGGGGAAAGAGAGAGAGGAGGTGAGAGGTGTGAAAAGCTCTGTGAGATATAGACTAGATTATAAACTGGGTGGTTAAAACCCTGAATGCTGATTGGGTGACAGCTGTGGTATATCAGACCGTATACCACGGGTATGACAAAACATTTATTTTTACTGCTCTAATAACGTTGGTAACCAGTTTATAATAACAATAAGGCACCTCTGGGGTTTGTGTTATATGGCCAATTTACCACGGCTAAGGGCTGTATCCAGGCACTTTGCGTTGCGATCTTGCATAAGAACAGTCCTTAGCCGTGGTATATTGGCCATATACCAAACCCCCTCGGGCCTTATTGCTTAAATATAATATGCCATTGATTTTCTCTGAGGTTTCCATAGGGGATGGGGGAATGGCTCTAAACAAACCATCTCAACTTGATTACTTCTCTTGTGCAATGTCTCAGTGACCCATATCTTCACTCAGGAGGTAATATATGCCATAATACTAAATAAACAATCTTTATCACTACTGCTGTGTTGTGCCTCGTTGACCTGAGTCTCCACTCAACGGATGATATATGTGGGAAATCTAAGCCGCAACCAATATCATTAACATTAAATGAGTTATGGGGAGGGAAAAACAACACAAAGTTGAACATCATGGATGGATGAAATTATGAGGATCATTATATTATCCTTGATAATAACACTATTTACCAGTCAAAAAAGGAGAATTAGTTCAGAGACCGTTGAGAACATTTAAGGCAGAGTAGGGCTATTGCATTACATCTGAACAAGAGGAAAATAAATATGCGACACCATTGAGCATGATTTTAACTCCAGGACTAGGCTTCATCTGTGTCCGGGAAACCATCCCCATGTGTCCTGAGTAATAGAGAAACAGTCAAGAACAAGACACCAGCACCTTACCAGCAGCCACAAACAGGATGCCTCCTCCTAGGATGATGTTCCTCTTGCTTTTGTAGAAGCTGCTGGATGCAACACACATCGCCCCCATCAGGAGGAGTATAGCACTCAGGATGGGGAAGATACTGGAGGCTCGGACCACACCTGCAGACGGATGGGGGTGAAATTGTCCTTAGTTGCTGATCAGTTTTATGTTGACAGTGGTTGGTGGTTATAGTTATCATTTGGGGATCCTAGATCCTAGCTGGTCCTAGATCTGTGCCTATGGGTATCTTCTACCTGGAGCTCTGCTTAGATATTTCTTCCTATCCTCTGATAATATTGGAAGCGACTGCAACCTTGGTGGTGTCATGGTGTCATAACCTGCTGAGCGTAGCAAAAATATATTAAAGATGAATGATTCAAGCTGAAGTTGTGAAGGTGACTTTTCAGGCTGCATATGTGACATTGTCACCATCTGGAGTAAAGTAATATGCTACAATAAGCATTTACAGTATTTTGTAACACCTTACATAAATGATTAAATGTGTCCTACATTCTAATTCCAACCAATGTTCTGGTTTGATTGGAATATCCTATTGCTTTGTCATAATTCCCTGCACCTGGGAATTCACTGATGCGGTTTCCCAGGTTTTGATTTTCAATTCGACATCACATCTCTCTAGTGACATCCTCCCACTGCCCACGTCCCCTTACTCACGCAGGAGATACTCTGCTGCATCTTGATCATAGTCTGCATCGTCCGGGAAATGATTGATCTGAGAGCACACTCCTCTCTTCAGCCCTGAGAGAGAGAGAGAGAGAGAGAGAGAGAGAGAGAGAGAGAGAGAGAAGGAGAGAGAGAGAGGAGAAGAGAGAGAGAGAGAGAAGAGATAGCTAGGAGAAGATATATGCGCGCTCTCGCGATCTCTCTCTCGCTCTCTCTTCTCTCTCCTCTCCTCCTCTCTCTCTCCTCCCGGTCTCGTCTCCACTCTCTCTATCTCGTCTCTCTCTCTCTCTCTCTCTCTCTCTGTCTCTCTCTCTCTCTCTCTCTCTCTCTCTCCCTCTCTCTCCGCTCTCGCTCCTCTTCTTTCTCTCCTCTCTCGCTCTCCCGCCTTCCTCTTCTCGCCGCGCGCTCGCTCTCTCGCCCTCCCCCGCCTCCGGCACGCCTCTGCGCGTTCCCGCCCCTCCCTGCCCGCTGGGCGCACGATTGCGCTCCGCAGCTCCCCGAGCCGAGGGCCGCGCATGGCGCGAGCGATCTGCCCTCCGCCCGCTGTGCGCGCGCTTCGGCGCCCCTCCCGCCGCTGGGCGCGCTTGCTCGCCGCGGGGCGCGCGCTGCGCGCCTGCGCGCTCCGCGCGCGCGCGCGCGCGCGCGCGCCGCGCGCGCGCTCCCCCCGCTTCGCCGCCTTCGTCGCGGCGCCGCGCCCCGCCGCTGGGCGCGCTCTTGCGCGCCCTCCGCCCTGGCGCGCTCTCCGCGCGCGGGCGCCGCGCTCCGCGCGTCGCGCTCGCGCGCTCCGCGCGCGCGCGCTCGCGCTCGCGCGAGCGCGCGCCCTCCTCCCGCTGGCCGCGGCGATTAGAGAGAGAGAGAGAAGCAGATATCAGCTATCTGGGGCTTGGTGTTTGGACATATTAAGTATTCATTTGAATCCCTTTCCAAGTCGGTTAAAATAGCTCAAACACAATGTATTTTTCATGACAGTCATATGAACCACAACCCCCCCCCCCCCCTGTACTCAGAGGAAAACAACAGACCAAATCAACTAAAACTACCTATAATAATCAATAATCAAGGAGTCATAATCAGTGGTTTCAGAATGTTGAGCAGCCACCACAAATATTATATAAAATGGTTGTGTTGTTGTCCTCTTTTGTTGAAGCTGTCTATCGCAAATGGAGAACCACTCCATCAGACTATCACCACTGACTCATCGCTCATAATTGGCCTCTTTGACATTCGCTAGTCTCGCATAGCCATACCTCCAAAATCACATCATTGTCACGCCAGGTTCTCGATGAGGCTAGTTGCAATAGGGTAAAAATGTGAATGTTTGGTCATGTTAGATAAGCGACTCTTGAAATGAGCCTTCTCCTCCTGACTGTCTGCCACTGCCCACTGGATGTCCTCTGAATCAGTGGAGGCTGATTAGGTGAGGACAGCTCATAATAATGGCTGGAATGGAGTGTAATGGCTGGAATGGAGTGGTATCAAACACATGAAAACGATGTGTTTGATACCATTCCATTCACCTCATTCCGTCCATTATTATGAGCCATCCTCCCCTCAGCAGCCTCCACTGCTCTGAATGCACTCATCCAGGACGCACTGTGTAAAACCGTGTCTTTCATGGTTGAGCTGCTCATCAGCGTCATCAGAAAAAAAACACACTAACACGGTACGACCAACACATACACTTTTGTACATTCACACGCACATAAACAAGTGTACAAACACACACACAGGCAGCAGTGGTGTGTATTAATGGATGCCAAGCGAAGCCAGGGTTCCCCAAAAAATGTACCCCAAAAAATAATCATAATAATAATTCATTTCTCTTTCGTCTCTGTTCCGGAATTTTCCTTCAATTCGCAAGAGGCTGAATGTACACTACATGACCAAAAGTATGTGGACACCTGCTCGTCGAACATCTCATTCCAAAATCATGGGCATTAATATGGAGTTGGTCCCCCCCTTTGCTGTTATAACAGCCTCCAATCTTCCGGGAAGGCTTTCCACTAGATGTTGGAACATTGCTAGGGGGACTTGTTTCCATTCAGCCACGAGCGTTAGTGAGGTTGGGCACTGATGTTGGGCGATTAGGCCTGGCTCGGTCAGCGTTCCAATTCATGCCAAAGGTATTAGATGTGGTTGAGGTCAGGGCTCTGTGCAGGCCAGTCAAATTCTTCGACACTGATCTCAACAAACCATTTATGTATGGACCTCACTTTGTGCACAAGGGCATTGTCATACTGAAACAGGAAAGGGCCTTTCCTGTTGCCACAAGGTTGGAAGCACAGAATCATCTAGAATATCACTGTATGCTGTAGCGTTAAGATGTCCCTTCACTGGAACTAAGGGGCCTAGCCAGAACCATGAAAAACAGCCCCAGACCATTATTCTTCCTCCACCAAACTTTACAGTTGGTACTATGCATTGGGGCAGGTAGCATTCTCCTGGCATCCGCCAAACCCAGATTCGTCCATTGGACTGCCAGATGGTGAAGCGTGATTCATCACTCCAGAGAACAAGTTTCTACTGCTCCAGAGTCCAATGGCGGCAAGCTTTACAACACTCCAGCAGACGCTTGGCATTACGCATGGTGATCTTAGGCTTGTGTGCGGCTGCTCGGCCATGGAAACCCATTTCATGAAGCTGTTGATGAACAGTTCTTGTGCTGACGTTGCTTCCAGAGGCAGTTTTGAACTCGGTAGTGAGTGTTGCAACCGAGGACAGACTATTTTTACGCGCTATGCGCTTCAGCACATGGCAGTCCTGTTCTATGAGCTTGTGTGGCCTACCACTTCGCGGCTGAGCCGTTGTTGCTCCTAGACGTTTCCACTTCACAATAACAGCCCTTACAGTTGACCGGAGCAGCTCTAGCAGGGCAGAAATTTGACGAAATGACTTGTTGGAAAGGTGGCATCCTATGACGGTCAATAAGCTCTTCAGTAAAGCCATTCTACTGCTAGTGTTTGTCTATGGAGATTGCATGGCGGTATGGACGATTTTATACACCTGTCAGCAACGGGTGTGGCTGAAATAGCCGAATCCACTAATTTCAAGAGGTGTTCACATATGTTTGTATATATAGTGTATCTCACCGGAGAAAGCATCAGAGCGAGCAAAATAAATTCACACATTGTGCTCCTGCCCTGAGTGGATGGAAGTTCAATATGTAGCTAGATGTAGAAGACTAACGTTAACTATATACTGAACTAAAATATAAACGCAACATGCAACAAAGATTCAAAGATTGTACTGAGTTACAGTTCATATAAGGAAATCAGTCAATTGAAATAAATTCATTAGGCCCTAATCAATGGAATTCACATGACTGGGAATGTTGGTCACAGATAACTTTAAAAAAAGGTGCGTGGATCAGAAAACCAGTCAGTATCTGGTGTGACCACCATTTGCCTCATGCAGCGCAACACATCTCCTTCGCATAGAGTTGATCAGGCTGTTGATTGTGGCCTGTGGAATGTTGTCCCACTCCTCTTCAATGGCCATGCGAAGTTGCTGGACATTGGCGGGAACTGGAACACGCTGTCGTACACGTCAATCCAGAGCATCCCAAACATGCTCAATGGGTGACATGTCTGGTGAGTATGCAGGCCATCGAAGAACTGGGACATTTTCAACTTCTAGGAATTGTATACAGATCCTTGCGACACGGGGCCGTGCATTATCATGCTGAAACATGAGGTGATGGCGGTGGATGAATGGCACGACACCATCCACGTGGTCTGCGGTTGTGAAGCCGGTTGGACATACCACCAAATTCTCTAAAACGATGTTGGAGGTGGCTTATGGTGGAGAAATGAACATTACATTCTAGTGGACATTCCTGCAGTCAGCATGCCAATTGCACGCTCCCTCAAAACTTGAGGCATCTGTGGCATTGTGCCGTGTGACAAAACTGCACATTTTAGAGTGGCCTTTTATTTTCCCCAGCACAAGGTGCACCTGTGTATAGATCATGCTGTTTAATCAGCTTCTTGATATGCCACACCTATCAGGTAGATTATCTTGGCAAAGGAGAAATGCTCACTAACAGGAACGTAAACAAATTTGTGCACAACATTTGAGAGAAATACGGTTTTTGTGCGTATGGAACATTTCTGGGATCTTTTATTTCAGCTCATGAAACATGGGGCCAACACTTTACATGTTGCTTTTATCTTTTTGTTCAGTGTAATAGCTAATGTTGCCCATTAATGGCAGTTAGGCTAGTGAACAAGCATTTTAGCCAGGTAGCCTAGGACAACAAAAAATGAAAGCGTGTACTGTATGAAAGAGTGATAGGCCATTTCTTCAACATGAAAGAGAGGAGGATGGCATTGGCGTTTCTCTACAAGTAGGGTGAGTCAACATGTTTTTCTACTTGCACGAACATGCACACACACACACACACACACAGAAATCAGAACCATGGACAGCCACATCATATTTAGGTTACGTTGACTGGACTAAATTGTTTTTGGTATCTTTTAGTTGTCACTGTATTAGACTAAGCATAGGTGATTTGATGATGAAATGTTGAAGTTGAAATGGTGCTGGAATAGTGGAGGCAGCTCCAGTTTTCTTTGCAACTCTCCATGGTTCTAAATCAATAGTTGTTTAGTGGTCTGAAAATGTCAGAAACATTAACTTGCTTGACCATGCTGTAGGTCATGTAAGGGTTTGTTACACGCAATATGCTTTGTGGACTTCACCGGACAGATGTTGCTCTCTGGTTTTGTGATGAAACAAAGCTGTGGTGTAATTTATTCTGCTACTGTATCTTCTTATTGTCTCAGCCTTAGGCCTCTATATCACGGTGGCAAGGCATATGAACTAACAGGTTATAGAGCAAACCGCAGCAGTGAATGCCCAGCTTTTTTGGGGCTTCCCCAGTGATTTTACCCACGCACTGCTACTGATAGGCATATATGTAAACACACTGAGCCAAACACGGTGATCCACCCACACATACACACACACACACACACACACACACACACACACACACACACACACACTGAGCCATTCATCTGACCCCACCAAAACTCTGGAAATACACTGGACCCCCCATCACCCCTCCCCCTCCACACTCACACCTCCCCACACACATCTAGTCTTCCCCTTACCCTCCAGACAGCAGATCCTCCAGAGGCCAGAGTGGGTGAGGGCTCCAGGGTCTTTCTTGTCCTTGTTGTTGGGGTCGTCCTGGGAGGAGTTGGCCGTGCTGTTGCAGATGAAGGCCCGTGCGTACAGCCAGTAGTCCGTCCCGATGGCCACCGCCATCAGGGAAAAGGCTGCAAACGCCCCCAAAGTGGTGAGGACAACCTGGATCCCCTTCTCCCACCACACCATGACTGGGCCGGAGAGAGGGAAGAGAGAGAGGGAGGAGAGAGCGGGATGGAGAAAGAGGAGAGTTGGTTAAAATGGTAAGGACACCTGAAAAGCTATAAATCAAGAGCATTGTCTTGAATGGTGTGGGTTTGTTGGGTGTTTCCAAGGTAACAACTGAATGTAAATGTACCCGATATTGAGCTGGATGTCCAAAACCTGGTGTCTCGCTTTCATTTCAATTCAATAGGACTTTGTTAATCCCAGAGGGCCAATTAGAAAGGCATTGTCAGTGCTTTGTCTTTCTGATGACTTGGAATTGTTTAAATACAAAAGCCATTTTCGAAAAGGGCAAAAAGACTTCAGTCTAGTCTAGTTACAGAATAATGACTTGGGTAAATCATATTGTTGTCTTTTGAATCTAGGCATCTGTTAAGTGTGTCTTTGCTTAAGTGTGTGTGTGTGTGTGTGTGTGTGTGTGTGTGTGTGTGTGTGTGTGTGTGTGTGTGTGTGTGTGTGTGTGTGTGTGTGTGTGTGTGTGTGTGTGTGTGTGTGTGTGTGTGTGTGTGAGTGTGTGTGTGTGTGTGTGTGTGTGTGAAGTGTGTTTCACCTTGGGGCATGCCCCTGCCTTTTGCCTCCATGTCTGCAGCTTGCTGTTCCTCGTCAGCGAAGAGTGCACCTTCAGAGTCCCCTCTGTCCAAGCAGCATCCATCGACCGCGCTCCCTCTCTCGTTTCCTCTCTTCTCTCTTGTTCCCCTGTGTCTCTCTCGCTCTCTCTGCTCCCTTGTTCTTCCTCTCTCACACTCTCTGGTTCGTCTGTATGTGAGCGTGGGTCCGCAACTCAAGGTTCCGTCCCTTTTCTCAGTGGGTGGTCATGGCACTGGCAGGCATCTCAGCGTTGCTCCTGTGGGGAGAAGAAGACAAAATAAAGGATTGAATAAATTAATGTGACGTGAGAGGGAAGCCAAGTAAAATGATAACCTTACAAAAATATAAATCATTAATAAAATTGGGTTTGTACATTCTGCGATGACAGACCAGAAAGGAAAGAAGCTGATCCGTTTCCACATTTCACACTGAGAGAGGGATATATAAAGCAAGAGGGAGCGGGAAAGAAGTGAGAGAGCGTGCTCTATCCATTGCCATGGCAACAGCGAATTCTAAAGTCTAGGACGGAACTGAACACGGTGAGCGAGAAGCGAGTGGGGGGTGAGGGGCAGCTGAAACAGCTGAGGGGATTTTGCCGACATTAAACCAAATATAAATACTGATGCTGAAGACCTCAATATAATATATATTTTTAATAACGTGAGTCATTGCAAAGCCATGATAAAATATGCTGAATCCTTTACCTCTAAAAGTCGAAGTCGTTAATTGTTTTTAGATGGTCATATCATGGATCATTTACATATTTGATTTTACATTTTAGGTATCCCAAATAATATTATTTGATAAAATATTGAATTTGGCCTTTACTACTATAGCCCATAGAAACCCATTCACAAATGGCAAAAAGACAGTCAAAAAATGTATCATAAGGAATAATGTTTTGAAGTGTCTGTCATATATCGAGGAGATATAAGAAAAAAAATGGACACATATTTAACCCCTTATTTTTGTTGGCACAAAACTACCTCCATACTTCCATTGGTTTGTATGGGTTACTTTCAGACTAGTGGGGGTCATAGAGCATCGTGTTCGTGAGAGTCTACCCATTCCATAGTGGGTTCATATTAGTTTGTTGCTCAAACAGTTCGGATGCTACAGACATTTTCGTGAGAAGACCGATTTTCGGGATGTCTCATGGTCTGACAAACATCGCTGTAGCTCGGCCACCTTCCACCACAGATACGAAAGGCCAACATAGGCGGATGTGGTGGATTGAGACACAGCCCATACAAAAAACCTTAAACTGACGGATTTTGATGGTGATTTTTTAATGATGTTACTTAGATTGAAGCACGGGTGCGTCGATAGACTCTTTAAACTGTACTGTTCAATTAAGGGAGTAATCAAGAACATTCAGATGATGACAAGCTCTTCGATCAGTATGATTATTTAGTTGAGCTATCAAATGCTGTGTGTGTGCATCTTCGGTATCATAAGCTGAAAATGTACGTACAGTATGATTAATGAGCAGCGAATACATTTGTGTTTACAGTAATTACGTACAATGCAATTGTTTCTATATTACATGATGTGATGGATGCAGCATGCATCAAATGATTCCGTTTACTGCAGTAGGAGCATTGTAATTATAATAATAGACCAAAAGTTAGGTGATAGTCATCTAACAGTGGTTTATGATTCACAATTTCTACCCAAGTTTCTTTCTAATAATAACGTTTGTTCAATCTATACCTATTGAAACTCGTTTGAATCATACACAGATGATTTTCCTCCAAATCAAAACCAATAGAAGATTTTTGTTTCTATAGTTGTTTCTGTATGTACTGTTTAGAAAACAAGTAACCCAGATGCACAGATATGGAAGAAATGTTGCCATCGGCAACATAAACACAGGAAGCTGATAAAGGAAGAGATCTGGTTCAAGGACAAACTAGAACCGCATACTGAAATGCATGAACATACAGCTTTGGGGTATATGTGGCACTAAATGATGAGTGATTGGGGAGATTCGGTAAGAATATAACATTGTAGAGTGAACAAAGGGTATGGGCCCAACAACAAGAGGATAACCTGGATATTAATTGCACATTTATCCACACGGTGTATATTACATTTCATTAAAAACATTGTGCACAAAGACACACACACACACACACATACGTGCAGAAGCACACACAGAGATGCACACTTTCCTTATCTTTGGTCTGAATCCTGAACAGTCACCTGACTTACATACTGTATTTATGTTTACATACTGTATGTATGTAAAGTTTATTGTCAGTAAAGAAGAACTGTGTGGCAAAAGTTGAGGAGAGGCAAGTAGCTCTGAATACTTACTGTGTGTGTGTGTGTGTGTGTGTGCATGTGTGCTTGAAATCATAAAGCAGAACCATTGCATTGATAAGGCTATTGCTATCTGTGAAAAGAAATGCACGACACCCTGGTTAAGCAATTATGCAATGATACATTCTGTTTATTAACACAAATATCACTTGCGACACCAGCAGAGAGAGAGAGAAACACGCCAGGTTAAGACACCTGACAAAATCAGATTTTAAATAAGATGTTGAGTTATTAACAGCTTTTGAGTAGTCTCTATTCAGTCTGAACACAGTTGATGGACAATAGGAATATTTGAGTGCTTTGCTTACTTAAATAGTCTCAAGGCTATTAATTTGGACATAGCTGTCATTGTACAAAGTAGGCTACATTTCTGTGTAAACATTAAATAAATATGTATTTTTCCAAAAGAATAAATGCAATATTGTTTTTTAAAAAAACATATAGGTTAATTATGTGCTAATACTGTAAAAGGCTAATACTGTAGGCTAATACTGTAAAAACGTAATACTAATTATGTACCTGGAACTGCTCTGCAAACACATCCCTCTTTTTATCATGGAAATATAATAGACTATTGAAAGCATATCATATGCATATTGCATACTATCCTTATTATAATTCTAAAGATGATTATGGAAAGAATATTGCTCAATGTTTTACCTGTAATTGTTGAACTTCTGCGGTGGTGACCGTGGACCGACTCTGGATGCGAGGCATGGGCAAGAGACGTGAGAAAGAACCGTAGATATTGCAAGAAGAGAATGAACGAAACGACGTCGAGGGATGTGGTGGGAGTTGGAGGAGGGGGGAGAGTGAGTGAAAAAGGTGTTTTTGAATAATAGGTCAAATCCATTGGTCAAATCAGACGTTTAATTCCTTCATTATAACAGCATTTATAATAAACATGATTGCATAAATTACTAGGTTATACATTATTTTATTATTATGAAAAGAATATATCGAGGCTTATTTGGGCTCCCGAGTGGTGCAGCGGTCTAAGGCACTGCATCTCAAGTGCTTGAGGCGTCACTACAAACCTCCTGGTTCGATTCCAGGCTGTATCACAACCGGCAGTGAAATAGGAGTCCCATAGGGCGGCGCACAATTGACCCAGCGACGTCCGGGTTTGGCCGGTGTAGGCCTTCATTGTAAATAAGAATTTGTTCTTAACTGACTTGCCTAAGTTAAATAAATTATGGAGGGGGGTTATATGAACGTAATGCCAGTCTCAAGTGGATTTATTACTTCTACTTTCTTTAAAAAATGCCTTAGGATTAGCTATATAAAATGCATAGCCACGTTTGACAGGTGCTACTGCGAAAAGGTTTGAGAAAGAGTTTAATGGAAAAGGTTTGTATCCAATCATGTTGAAGCGCGCCAATTTTGGCAGTGAAGTCACAAGACAGCTTCTCACACATGTGCAATCAACTTGTTACAACAGCGGTCCTCACCATTTACTAAAGAAATCAGCCAACAATTTCTAATTTGATACCGGAAAAACATTGAAGCCAAGAAGTACATTAAAATAAGTATATTAAATTATGACATCACTCACCTGCGTTCACCATAGAGAACATAGAATTAGGAGTTAGAATACTAGAATGGACATTAACATTCTTAAGGTGGTATAAAGGTCAGCCAATTTGGTCAGAGAGTTAGTCAGTCATGGTTTGCCAGTGCTGTGATAAGATATTGTGTAAAATAATTAATTGGAAAAATTCATCCGCACTGTATGTTTGTTAGGTAGCCAGACAGTTTTAGAGGAATTATTTCATTAATTGTTCGAATTAACTGCCAATATGTCAACATTCCATTAAACAGTGTTGTCAATCCACAGCCATACACTGGCTGAAATCAGTTGATGATAGGACTTAGATATAATAGCACTCACAGCTTTCCAATATATATATATATATTTTTTACATTTACGGTCTGTTTATACTGAACAAAAATATAAACGGAACATGTAAAGTGTTTGTCCCATGTTTCATGAGCTGAAATAAAATATTCCAGGAATGTTTCATATGCACAAAAAGCTTATTTTTCTAAAATGTTGTGCACACATTTGTGACTCCTTTCAGGAAACTAGGCGTATGTTGTGCATCACTACTTCACAGGAGCGCCATTTGAACCTAAACTTTTTTTAAAAATCTAAATGCGTTTTTTGGCAGTGTATTCTGGAACATGTGAACTTTCATGTGCCTTAATAACAAACCTGAATGCCATCTGTAAATACAAAATAAAATTATTAAATTACGAGCCTAGTTGGTTTAGCCATGGAAGAAGACGGCAACCTTCCCGCTAGCCATGATTGGCTGAGATAATTAGTGCTGGACATGCCTAGAGATGAGTTCAGTATGGGTAGGTAATCCTTTCTAACGCCGCTTCTTCACTATAAAACACATGGGGGCCTCTGACTGGCCTCTGCCTGGGGTCTCCAAATCACTAAATCCTCCCCTGCACACACACACACACACACACACACACACACACACACACACACACACACACACACACACACACACACACACACACACACACACACACACACACACACACACACACACACACACACACATACACACACACACACACACATACACACACATACACACGCCAGGAACTGATACATTTCTTATGGTCTTGAAGAAGCAAAGCTTTGGATTAAGACACAATAGCAGGGGGCATTACCAAGCTATATAAAATATGTCAGTACGTCAGTCTCCAGTCCTGCTATTCATTCTCTACACCAGTGTGCAAACAGGATTTCACCTCAATATAGTTTAGCCATGTTGATCTTTTCAGCTCTCAAAGTTCCTGACATGAGCGGTAGGTGCTTGCACGTGTGTGTGTGTGATTGTGATTGTGTGTGCAGTCAAAAACCCTGACAGACATCTGACCACAAACGTTAAGCACACACACAGATTTACCCCTAGGATTTATTCAATAGCTGTAGAACAATAACATGTTAGTCAGCAACCCCCAGGCATAGATCCAATAACAAAAATTATCATAATATCATTAAAACATTTTTCATGTTCTCAGGTATGAACAAGCTCTTAGATTCATTAGTGCATTGCTTAGCAAAAAGAAAATGGCATTATTGTCATTATTACTACTAAATCGTACCATTGATTTTGTTGTAAATATGGGTAACATATTTACACTAACAATAATAGTAAGTAACAACAATAATAATTATCATATAATAATAATAATGAATAGCTTTGATCTCTGTTAGTGTTGTTAGGCACAGTTCATTTGAATAAGCTCAAAAAAGGTACTGAGAGCGCCTTTACAAAAGAAGAAAGAAATGGAGAATGAGTGAGAAACGAGGCCTGCAAAGAGAAGAGACATTACATTAATGGGGATTTGAGAGACAAACCAAGACAAATGATCAATAAAGTTCAAAAGGTAGTAGGATATGAGGATGGGCAGTGAGAGGAGGAAGAAGTGAAGGCAATAAAAGGAGCTTGAGGAAATCAATGAACAGTTGAAAAAGACAAACATGGAGAAAAAAAACAGAATCTCACTTTAGCTACAGAAAACCCCAATCGTCCTCAACTTCAATAACATTCATGGTCCAGTGAAGACCTGGCTTTCTGAAAGTAAACCTCAATTTAACACAGTAGTTTAATGAGGAAAAACAACAGAGGATAATATTGCATTGACAAAATACAAAATCGTTTTAATATTTGTTTTAAACAATTATTATAGCTACCCCCCCCTCTCTCTCAGCCCTCTCTCTACATCTCGTCTCTCTCGCGCTCTCTCTACTCCTTCTATCTCTCTCTTCTTATCTCTCTCTCTCTTTCCTCTCTCTCTCTCGAGAGTCTCGCGATCTCTCTCTCATTTTTTTCTTCTCTCACTCTCGGACTCCTCTCTCTCCACTCTCTACCTCTCTAGTCTGCTGCGCTCTCTCACTCTATCCTCTCTCTCTCTCTCTGATCTCTCTCTCTCTTTCTCTCTCTCTCTCTCTCTCTCTCTCTCTCTTTCAATTAATCAACCTCTCACACCAAATCATAACAGGCATATAATAATATAACAGGCCTATATTTTATATATACAGTGCATTCGGAAAGTATTCAGACCCCTTCCCTTTTTCCACATTTTGTTACATTACAGCCTTCTTCTAAAATGGATTACCCCATAATGACAAAGCAAAAACAGGTTTTTAGAAATGTTTGCTAATTTATAAAAAATCTAAAACAGAAATACCTTATTTACATAAGTATTCAGACCCTTTGCTATGAGACTCGAAATTGAGCTCAGGTGCATACTGTTTCCATTGATCATCCTTGAGATGTTTCTACAACTTGATTGGAGTCCACCTGTGGTAAATCCAATTGATTGGACATGATTTGGAAAGGCACACACCTGTCTATATAAGGTCCCACAGTTGACAGTGCATGTCAGAGCAAAAACCAAGCCATGAGGTCAAAGGAATTGTCCATAGAGCTCCGAGACAGGATTGTGTCGAGACACAGATCTGGGGAAGGGTACCAAAACATTTCTGCAGCATTGAAGGTCCCCAAGAACACAGTGGCCTCCATTATTCTTAAATGGAATTAGTTTGGTAACATCAAGACTCTTCCTAGAGCTGGCGCGGCCAAACTGAGCCAAGAACCCGATGGTCACTCTGACATAGCTCCAGAGTTCCTCTGTGGAGATGTGAGAACCTCCCAAAAGGACAACCATCTCTGCAGCACTCCACCAATCAGGCCTTTATGGTAGAGTGACCAGACGGAAGCCATTCCTCAGTAAAAGGCACATGACAGCCTACTTGGAGTTTGCCAGAAGGCACCTAAAGGACTCTCAGACCATGAGAAACAAGATTCTCTGGTCTGATGAAACCAAGATTGAAGTCTTTGGCCTGAATGCCAAGCATCATGTCTGGAGGAAACCTGGCACCATCCCTACGGTGAAGCATGGGGGTGGCAGCATCATGCTGTGGGGATCTTTTTCAGGGGCAGGGACTGGAAGACTAGTCAGAATTGAGGGAAAGATGAATGGAGCAAAGTACAGAAAGATCCTTGATGAACACCTGCTCCAGAGCGCTCAGGACCTCAGACTGGGACGAAGGTTCACCTTCCAACAGGACAACGACGTTAAGCACACAGCCAAGACAACACAGAGTGGCTTCAGGACAAGTCTCTAAATGTCCTTGAGTGGCCCAGCCAGAGCCTGGACTTGAACCCGATTGAACATCTTTGGAGAGACCTGAAAATAGCTGTGCAGCGACGCTCCCCATCCAACCTGACAGAGCTTGAGAGGATCTGCAGAGAAGAATGGCAGAAACTCCCCAAATACAGGTGTGCCAAGCTTGTAGCGTCATACCCAAGAAGACTCAAGGCTGTAATCGCTGCCAAAGGTGCTTCAACAAAGTACTGAGTAAAGGGTCTGAATACTTATGTAAATGTGATATTTCAGAATTTTTTAAAATTTCTTACAACCTATATTTGCTTTGTCATTATGGGGTATTGCGTGTAGATTGATGAGCGGAAAAAACTATTTAATCAATTTTAGAATAAGGCTGTAATGTAAAAAATTTGCAAAAAGTAAAGGGGTCTGAATACTTTCCAAATGCACTGTATATATATATATATATATATATATATTACACTATAGGTTTAATAAAACTACACCACTACACTATTCTACCTATTATGATTATAGAACAAGCTACAAATATGAGTTATCCTTTTGTTATAATTTTCTCTCCAGCAGGAACCAGTCCTGTTCTTTGATAATGCATTCATATATTTTACTCTATAGTCTATCATAGGCTGTACATCACTGTCCTGGGTCCCAAACTAAATAATACTACCTTCCATCACATGAGTATGTGCATCTGCTACATAATGAACAATATAAATATTAAAATACATTTGATCAAGTTATCTGATTGCAGGAAAATATCTGGAATTCTGAAAAACAGTCACATCTTATTAGGAAAACAATTGGAATGCAATTCAATGTCTAGTGGAATTTGTTCACTATTTATAGGGAGATATTGCAAGACTTTGTTATAAATCTTCTTCTATCCCCAAGTCGGGAATTGGTATCGGTCTTGTTCGCTACAAAAGTGTGCATGTCATGATACAAAAGTTCAACCCCGATGCAGAGCCATCAGACTCACAGCAACAGCACTAGAGGGCGCTACAGAGACCCATTGGTCATGTTTTGCTCTCGTTTAGACCTCACTAACATAGACACTATCTTGAAATATATTTCTGTGCTTTATATTTGACAATGTTAAACTCTTATCAAACACTTTCTTGCTTTCACATCCTCATTTATGGTTTTATCATTTATCATGTCGCATTTACTTACATTATTATTATAATACAGATGTTTAGAAACATAGCTAATGATAATGGTCACAATCTTTATTTTGATATTAGTAGTAGAAATAGTAGTAGTAGTAGTAATTGTAGTTATAGCAGGACTGTTGAAGCTGGTGTGTGTGTGTGTGTGTGTGTGTGTTGCATTTACATTAAGTATACCAATAAACATAGAATAGAATGTAAACATGTAGTTCAGTGGGTAGGCTGCATAGGCAACATGTATTATATACACCCAGTCACAGTCAAATGGAGAAAAGTAAACATTTCAAAACAAACACAGTATTTACTTCATCAATCTACTCCATTGCTAAATGGGACGCTCTTCTGGTAACTATAAAGAGAAGAAAGATACTCTAGCGGTAAGCAGCCATGTGCTACAGAATATGAACACTCAAGCTAATTAGCAATCAAAGGAGGATCATATGTCTCATGGCATCTGCAAATATGTTCTCATTCTTGGTAGTAAAATGGGTGCTTTTTTATATTCTCAGTCGTAAATATTTATAAATGATGGAAAGTTATGGATTTTCTTTGTTACTATGACATTTTAGTCAAAAACATAACAACAAAAATTCAAGTGTTTTTATGGATTCCAAAATGGATGCTGAAGCCTGCCACCTGGACATGTATACCGGTAGTAGAAGAATGCTACTGCAGAGGAGAATCTGATATGTTACAATATGTACAGTTTCAGTCACAGAACCCTCTTGAATGATCTTCAGAAGTCTCAGATTTCTGTCCTCGAACCTCAAAATGGGAACATTCATCCAACAATGCCTCTCAAATACACATGATTAATAAAATGATAGACCTAGTCATACAGTAATACACATCTCATGAAAGACAAACATGGTTAAGCTTTCAACATTTGTTTTTCCAGCACTTAAAGAAAAATGTCTATACAGTTTAAGTATAAATCTCTATGCATATACAATGTGTTCTTGATTCTTGTGTGTTAGTGCTTGAAATGCATCTTATGCTTATTCTTCTGAAACAGCAGCACTCTTTCTCACAGCCCCCCTCACTTCTCCTCCTCCCTCTTTTTCTTATTGTGTAAATAATTATCATATCCCTCCCTCCCTCTCTCCCTCCCTCTCTTCCTCCCTCTCTCCCTCCCTCCCTTATTTCCTCCCTCTCTCTGAAAGTTTGCTAAAATGTCTGTCTTCATCTTAGGCACAGCATACATTTTAAATCATCCTCCACCCACCTCGTTTTCTTTCCCTTGTTCATTCCCTTCTTGCTCTTGATCTCCTAAATCTCCTTCTCTCATCCTCTCTTCCATCTCTCCTCCCACACTCTTCATGCGTGTATCTGTGTGTTTGTGTGTGTACAAGCGTGTGTGTGTTTGCATCTGTCTCTGTGTGTTGCACATATGACAGAGCCAACCCCCACTTTGTCTACCCCCCCCCCCCCCCCCCCCCCCCCATCCCTCACTCCCCCCTTCTAGCATGGCGAGGCACTCATGCGCATGTGTTGGTGGTAGCGGGGAGGGGGCTGGGCAGAGGGGGGCATGGCCATGGGTATGGGCATGGACTGGGGAGGAGGCCCGCTGGGGTGAGAGGACATGGTGTGGTGGGGGTAGGAGAAGGAGGAGGAGGACTGCTGGTAGCTGGCGCCCGAGGAGGGGCCAGAGGATGGGGCCTGTTGCTGTTGTTGTTGCTGCTGCTGCTGCTGTTGCTGCTGGGAGCTGCCCTTGGGCGGCGGGGGCGTCTGGTTCAGCTGGATGGAGATGTCACTGGAGACCTCAGACGCGCTGCGGCCCCGCTGCGGAGGAGGCCACGACTCGGGGTGCAGGTACTGGCCACTGTAGTCGCTACACTCGGACAGGCGGGGGCGGTAGAGGGACGGGTGGGGCTGGTACATCTCCTCCTCGGCGTAGCGCTTCATGAAGAGGTACACTGACATCACCCCGGCCCCCTGGGAGAGAGCAGAGCAAGCGCTCGTATTAATACATGACATGAAACACTGAAACACCATCATAAATAAGTCATAAGTGACACATTGGGCCATCACGCATCAGGCACACTATGAACCACAGCAAAAAGAAGCCTAAATAAAAATGTATTATATTATATAAAAATGACATACAGTACTGGACCATGAAATACAATAAACACTGGAACATTTAAAGGTCCAATGCAGCCGTTTTTAATCTAAATATCAAATCATTTCTAGGTAACAATGAAGTACCTTACTGTGATTGTTTTCAATTAAAGTAGAAATAGTAGTAGTAGTAATTGTATAGCGCAGTGATTGTTTTCAATTAAAATGGTCAAGAAGAAACAAAAATAGCTTCTTAGCAAAGAGTCATTTCTCAAGCAAGGATTTTGCTAGGACTGTCTGGGAGTGGTCTGAGTTGGGAATGGAAAACTGAAAACTAGCTGCTATTGGCAGAGAGGTTTGGAACTCTCTTTCTTACTGGTCTATAAACTCCATCCCGCCAAAACAGGCAGAAATTTCAGGCGGTCTTTTCAAACAGCTCTTACACTTAAAGGGCATTAGAATAATTTTCACAATTTCACAATGTTATTCCAACCTCATAGTGTGGAAATATATATATAAAACACAGGAAAATCACGTATTTGACTGCACTGTGCCTTTAATAAAACACAATACCCCTCAATACAACAGGATGTAATATAGCATCCTGAAAGATCTATAAAATGTTTTGAATTAATATAAAATACTAAACATGTTAATAACATTACATGCATGCGTTATTTTCAACTGTGGAATACGTTTATATGATGCACAAACCTCTGCAATGCACTGAAGACATAATAGTGCTCAGATTCAACCAAACCGCTCCTCCGTGTAATAACTCGTTATCAAAAATGCAGTGTTGCGCCAAACATCCGCACAAACATTTACACCACATCCACTATTCATCGCTGACATCTTAGTACAACATCCTTGAAACTCGAGCACGTCAACGCCAGCGCTAAGTGCTATTCCCCCTCCTCTTTGTCCTGCCGCTGCAGAGGGGCTGGAGAAAAAGAAAAGCCCTGTAGCGAACGGTATATTCATGTGACAACAGCAGCGTTTTAAGCTGCCGCTGTGACAGAGCTGTCGCCCTAAAGTGTGCGCTATTAACATTTATGAATATTGATGTGAGTTGGGGGGGGGGGGGGGGGGATCCTAACCGTGAAGCACTAAGCTAGCCGGTTAGCAGTTAGCAGAGGTTAATAGCTAGTGGTCGGCCACTACACTAGCAGGCGGACGGGTGTGCTGACCTCTTTGAGGAGGAAGGAGCTGGCAGCGAAGGCGAAGGACCAGCCGTAGTGATAGTGGAAGAAGTGCTCAGGCTCACGCGGCCGGTTCATCACCTCGTCGTTGATGCTGCTGATGTAGAGGACCAGGCCCACCACCAGGCTGAGCCCTGAGAAGGGGGAGAGGACAGGATGGAGAGAAAAAGAGGGAAAGGGAAAGCAGGGCGCCAGAGAGAGGCAATGAGGGGCATAGAGGCAGAGAAAGACATGGGAAGGAGTAGAGGAAAGCGAGAGAGATGGAATGGAGAGAGGGAGAGAGGAGGGGAGAGAATGGAGGAGGGGAGAAGAGGCGAGCCAGTGGAGGGGGAGAGAGGAAGAGGAGAGAGAGAAAGAATGGAGTGGGGGAGAGAGGGAGAGAGGGAGTGCACAGTGTTGAGGAGATTATATGAAACAGTGAGCGAGAGAGGAAGGGTGATGGGGAATCATAAGTGAGAATGAGAGAGAGAAGGGTAGAGGAAAGAGAACGGAAGGGAGGAGGGAAGGGACAAACGCCAGGGGCGAGAGTGGGTGGGGGAATGGGTCAGAGAGTGTGAACATGAAGGGGAGGGTGGGTGGTAGGGAGAGCGAGAGAGAGATTTGGAGACAGGAGGATACACAGTGAGCAAGATGGAGGGAGAGAGTTAGAGATGAAAAGAAAGGTGGAGAGACGTAGTCTTTTTTTTGTATGAGTACATCTCTGACTGCTTGTTGCCTTGGCATCCAAATAGATCTCCTTAACATAGAGAGCAAGACAGACGGAAAGTGGGACAGTATGTGGCCTACACTCTTAGAAAAAAAGGTGCTATCTAGAACCTAAAAGGGTTCTTCGGCTATGCCCACAGGAGAACCCTTTGAAGAACCCTTTTTGGTTTCAGGTAGAAAACTTTGATTTAGATTAGAAGTTTAATAGTCAGATGTACAGGGTTGCAGGTGTGATTTCAGGGTACAGTGAAAATCTTATACTCGGAGCTCTAACAATGCAGGTCAAAGTGAAATAAGTGTTATTTTATGAGAGCATTATTTTATGAAAACAAGAATCATAAATTATAGACAGTAAAACGTGATTATGATACATTGCAAATTACTAAACATTGCTACTACTACTACTACAAATATGAGCACCACAGCTGCTAAATTAGTGCCACTGCTGCAAATAATCACAGTCTCTCAATTAGTTTGCTTAGTTAGCCTTCCAAAAGCCACCATTGTTGCTACATGTTTCTGCTTTCACACTGAAAAGAGCTCGTATGGCCAAACATTTGAGCACATTTCCCCTGATGGGTTAAAAACCACAATAAAACAACTGAATAAGAAGATCCTCAAGACTTCCTCTTGAACCACATTTTCATTATTCATTATTTTGAATAAATGAGCCTTATTATATTTTCTAAATGGAAACCAAATCCAAACCACTGCCTGCATGCCTGCGAATATGCGATAAACGAGGACAACATACAAGCAGAGTGGTGGAAGAGAAAGAAAACCCCATTAAAGGATGTGTCAGTGCTTTTCCTCAGCCAGCCAGCCTCGGCTTCTGCAGCCTCTGACCCTAAAATCCTCCACCACCATTAACCAGTACAGCAGCCCCACTACATAATCAGCCCTGACCAGCACCACAACAACAACAACAGCAGGAGATTCAGGCAGCAGGCTCCAGCAGGCAGCAGTAACAGCAGCTGCAGCTGCAGCGACCAAAGCTCCTGGGAACCAGTGACCTGGCTCCCCCTTACTGTCTCAGCAGGGGGAGCTGTGGCTAGCTGCTGTTAGCTCGTCACCTCGCCTGCTTCCCTCTCAGCAGCAGTCAGACGTTCTGCGTGGGCGTGCTAGAAAAAAACAGAACAGAGAGCTGTCCCTCTCTGAAGAAAGGCAGGCTCCACCGGAGCCAGTTTGAAGCGTCTTCCATTCAGTTTTATCAGAATGGTTTGGGTTAGGAGAAGGTGTATGGAAAGCTGATCCTGAATCGGGGTGTGAGAATGTTTTGTTTGTGATTACATTTTCTATCTTTTGTGTTGTGGAATGTCGATGAAATTGAATTCAATGGCAACCACAACATCTTTTCTACGACAAAGACATTGAGAACAATGTCCCGCTGAGCATCTATAAAGCTGTCAGTTTGTTCAAATGGCTTCAAAGAATCAGAGTGAATAATAACAACAAACTCAATATTTTCTCAAGCCAGTCGATTTCTTAAGTTGTTTCTTGGGACCTATTATCTGAAGTATTTTCTTCTCAATTCACAGCCCCATGTTTCAAGTTTCACATTTTATTAGTCCAATGAAATGCTTACTTGCAGGTTCCTTCTTGTTAATTCAACAATAATAAGAAATAATAAAATATAAGAATACGAACGTAAAGTAAATGGCTCAGTAGAATAGAATACACATTTTAGCATAAGTACAGTGCATTCGGAAAGTATTCAGACCCCTTCCCTTTTTCCACATTTTGTTATGTTACAGCCTTATTCTAAAATGGATTAAATAAAAACAATTCCTCATCAATCTACATACAATACCCCATAATGACAAAGTGAAAACAGGTTTTTAGAAATGTTGGCAAATGTAAATAATTTTTTTAAAAATAAAATAAATGCCTTATTTACATACGTTTTCAGACACTTTGCTATGAGACTCGAAATTGAGCTCAGGTGCATCCTGTTTCTACAACTTGATTGGAGTCCACCTGTGGTAAATTCAATTGTTTGGACATGATTTGAAAAGGCACACACTTGTCTATATAAGGTCCCACAGTTGACAGTGCATGTCAGAGCAAAAACCATGCCATGAGGTCGAAGGAATTGTCCGTAGAGCTCCGAGACAGGATTGTTTCGAAGCACAGATCTTGGGAAGGGTACCAAAACATTTCTGCAGCATTGAAGGTCCCCAAGAACACAGTGCCCTCCATCATTCTTAAATGGAAGAATTTTGGTACCACCAAGACTTTTCCTAGAGCTGGCCGCCCGGCCAAACTGAGCAATCAGGGGAGAAGGGCCTTGGTCAGGGAGGTGGCCAAGAACCCGATGGTCACTCTGACAGAGCTCTAGAGTTCCTCTGTGGAGATGGAAGAACCATCCAGAAGGACAACCATTTCTGCAGCACGCCACCAATCAGGCCTTAATGGTAGAGTGGCCAGATGGAAGCCACTCCTCAGTAAAAGGCACATGACAGCCCACTTGGAGTTTGCCAAAAGGCACCTAAAGGACTCTCAGACCATGAGAAACAAGATTCTCTGGTCTGATGAAACCAAGATTAAACTCTTTGGCCTGAATGCCAAGCGTCACATCTTGAGTAAACCAGGCACCATCCCTATGGTAAAGCATGGCAGTGGCAGCATCATGCTGTGAGGATGTTTTTCAGTGGCAGAGACTGGGAGACATCAGGATCGAGGGAAAGATTAACAGAGCAAAGTACAGAGAGATCCTTGATGAAAACCTGCTCCAGAGCGCTCAGGACCTCAGACTGGGACAAATATTCACCTTCCAACAGGACAACGACCCTAGGCACACAGCCAAGACAATGCAGGAGTGGCTTCGGAACAAGTCTCTGAATGTCCTTGAGTGGCCCAGTCAGAGCCCGGACTTGAACCTGATCGAACATTTGTGGAGAGACCTGAAAATAGCTGTGCAGCGACGCTCCCCATCCAACCTGACAGACCTTGAGAGGATCTGCAGAGAAGAATGGGAGAAACTCCCCAAATACAGGTGTGCCAAGCTTGTAGCGTCATACCCAAGAAGACTCGAGGCTGTAATCGCTGCCAAAGGTTCTTCAACAAAGTACTGAGTAAAGGGTCTGAATACTTATGTAAATGTTATAGTTCAGTTATTTATATTCTATACATTTGCAAACATTTCTAAAAACCTGTTTTTGCTTTGTCATTATGGGGTATTGTGTGTAGATTGATGAGGGAAAAAAACGATTTAATCAATTTTAGAATGAGGTTTTAACGTAACAATGTAAAACGTAAAAAGTAAAGGGGTCTGAATACTTTCCGAATGCACTTTATACAGGAAGGCACAATTTATAGTTCAATATTTACACAGAAAATACCTTTCACCGAGTGAACTACTAGAAAACCATTACTTTTTCAATTTGCGCCTGAAACAGTGCAATCGTTCACTGCTTTAGGTCAGTGACATGTAATAAGGACAAGATGGGCACATAACTGCTCTGTAAGCAGCATCTCATGCTAGGCTAGCATCTGTGAGCAAGATCTGCAATTCCCCCAAATAGAAACTGATGTAATCTTATAGACAACTGAGGATCAGGATACGCTGTTAGCCAAGCCACTAAATCAACAACCAATCAGGGGGGTTCCAGACCCAGACCACACAGAACCTACTTTACATACCAGTGGCAGCTCTCATCAACCAATAAGTATCTTTAATACTGAACATCATTAAAACAACAGCCAATGGGAAACCTTTATCATTTCCTTTCATCATCAAAAAGCATGTGGCTCCGTACCTGAGAGGATGAAGAAGATTCCGGAGATGAAGGCCAGGATGGTGCGCTGTGGCCGGATGTGTCCGATGTTACTGATGACGAAGGCAGTGAAGACAAAGAGCAGCGACACCATGGGGAACGGTGTGGCTGTCCGTACCATCTCTGATGAAGGGATAGAAGGAAACAGGGCGAGAGAAAGACAGAAGAAGAGAGAAAGATACATTGAGAGAAGGATGAAGAGTTAAGTAAAACAATGAAATAAAACATATCAAACATAGTCAAAAATATTCAACATTTCTTACATTGTTTTAATCCAAGTTTCAGTGTCCCACTGCGATAATGAAAGTTAAGTTGTGTTCAGTGGAAAATGCTTTCTGTTACACTCTTCCTCTATTTATTAATAATTAAGTTCATAAATAAATTAATGCACTGTACGTAACACATTGAAAAATTTGAATGGTCTAAACTGGTATACAAGTATATAAATGATTTGTAGCTGTTATGTTGTAGCTGTTATGTTGTAGCTGTTATGTTGTAGCTGTTATGCTGTAGATGTTATGCTGTAGCTGTTATACTGTAGCTGTTATGCTGTAGCGGTTATGTTGTAGCTGTAATGCTGTAGCTGTTATGTTATAACTGTTATGTTGTAGCTGTTATGCTGTAGCTGTTATGTTGTAGCTGTTATGCTGTAGCTGTTATGCTGTAGCTGTTATGTTGTAGCTATTATGTTGTAGCTGTTATGTTATAGCTGTTATGTTGTAGTTGTTATGTTGTAGCTGTTATGCTGTAGCTGTTATGCTGTAGCTGTTATGCTGTAGCTGTTATGTTGTAGCTGTTATGCTGTAGCTGTTATGCTGTAGCTGTTATGCTGTAGCTGTTATGTTGTAGCTGTTATGCTGTAGCTGTAGTTGTTATGTTGTAGCTGTTATGCTGTAGCTATTATGTTGTAGCTGTTATGTTATAGCTGTTATGTTGTAGTTGTTATGTTGTAGCTGTTATGCTGTAGCTGTTATGCTGTAGCTGTTATGCTGTAGCTGTTATGGTGTAGCTGTTATGTTGTAGCTGTTATGTTGTAGCTGTTATGTTGTAGCTGTTATGTTGTAGCTGTTATGTTATAGCTGTTATGTTGTAGCGTTTATGTTATAGCTGTTATGTTGTAGCTGTTATGTTATAGCTGTTGTGTTGTAGCTGTTATGTTATAGCTGTTATGTTGTAGCTGTTATACTGTAGCTGTTATGTTGTAGCTGTTATGGTATATTTGTTATGCTGTATTTGTTATGCAAACCAATAACTCAGGCTACTGATTACGTGTCTTTTTTATGTCTGTCTGCTTGCTCTGCAATTATTTGTTACGTTGTCTATTTGTCTATTCAGTAGTGCTATGTTACTTGTATTGTAGTCTGCCACCTTCTAACTGGGTTTTCCTGTTATACTTTGTTACCCATTTGCCTGTTATACCTTGCTGCCTACTTTGTCCCTCGTGCTGTTGCCTGTTCCTACAATGTTTTGCATTGTTGCCATAGATCTCCCATCATGTAGTGTCGTGATGTCCCTCTTGTCGTGATGTGCTTTGTCTCTGCCTATTTTGTCCCTCATGCTGTTGTCTGCTCTTAACAATGTGTATGCCATGATGTCTTGTTGCCACAGGTCTCCCGTCATGTAGTGTGGTGGTGTCTCTCCTGTCGTGATGTGCTTTGTTTCCACTGTCTGTCTGCTGATGTATCTGTGCTGTTGCCAAGTGTCTTCCGTGTGTGTTGTCTGTTTATGTCATATACTTTTAATCCCCGCCCCCTGCCCCACAGGAGGCCTTTTGCCTCTTGCCAGGCCGTCATTATAAATAATAATTTGTTATTAATTCAAATTAAAGTCATGAGTGAACAAATGAACTAAACATGAAAAAGATTGTCATCTGCTTCACTTCCTTCCTTTCTTACATGACTACAAAGTCTTTATGAAGTAGTTACAGAGGTTGACTTAAATTGGGATTGGGAGAACTTGTGTACAGAAATACATGCTTTATTTAATACTAGCCCCCACCATTCTAATTCAATTGTATAAATTGTCAATCACGAAGAAAGGAAATCATATAAAAGAACGATTAAGTAACATTCATTCCCAAGAGAAAATGTCCTTCATCAGTTTATAATTCCCTACAGGTTGTTATGCCTGCAGCATGCTGTATATACTGTAGTAAAGTTTTATAAGGTTTTCCAAGTTTCCACATCTTAAATAATTAAAATAGTTGTTAAATAAAGAAAAAGGGAACGTGAGCAGTGTTCAACACAGGTTTTAAATCAAAGAGGTTGGGAACTATTTTGTCTCAACATGTTTCCTGAGCAGAGCCTAAAGCAATGACACAATGACATCCAGGGGTTATTTTCCTGCACGTTTCTCGCCGTGGTCAGGTGTCATCACTTACTCAGTATATTTGCAGTGTTTTCGGTCACAATATCTATCTCAGCTTCAGTGGTGAAGTATTCTGATGCTACACATCTCCCCTGTTCAGGTCCTGAGAGAGAGAGAGAGAGAGAGAGAGAGAGAGAGAGAGAGAGAGAGAGAGAGAGAGAGAGAGAGAGAGAGAGAGAGAGAGAGACAGAGAATAGGCCCAGAGGGAGAGTGGAAATCAAGGTTTTTAGTGGATGAGCAGAAGAGACAAGGGGTGGAATGGAGGGGAAGTCATTAACCTGGAATTTGGACAGAGAGGGGGACACTTAATCAGAGTGGCACAGAGGTGAACAGTCAGCGAGGAAAGCCACAATCCACACGACAGCAGCATCTTTCACCTTTCACCTTATGTACCTAGCACCAGCACAAACAATGCCATTCCCCTGGAGGGCCACCAATAGAACCCTGGCTAGAGGAGCGTGCGTGTGTGTGTGCGCACATTTTTCCTTAAGCGTTCCCTTCAAACTTAGCAGACTGAAGCCTCTGAGTCATGGGTAACAATCATTGTCTTACGTCAGATAGCGCATCAATTCCACCTGCACTGATCTGTCCAATAATATCTATCTGCGGACTGCAGTAACTACATGCCGAGCCCACTACACGCTGCGCCCGCTACACGCCACGCCCACTGCCATTGAGGGTCCTTGTAATGCATTACGTCACTGCATGAGTAGACATATCTGCTGGAAACAGACCCTGTTGAACCCAACTCTAGCGTGGCACTACTTGGTGGGTGCTGTGTGTATTCGATCGGTACTACACGCCGCGCCCACCAGTCTGCGGTCCGCAGATAGACTCTACTCGTATCTCGCAAAGGGTAATGGGATAGCTTGAAAGTAATCTGGCTACAATGGGCTGCCATAACATTCAAACATATTACCAGAGATATGGATATAATGACGAGATGCTTATGTCTCCGACCTAACAATGAGATTTGTTGTCCACAGAGCAGAACAGGGGGCTGTCAAGCTCCCGCCTATTCCTCTCTTTGGATTGGTGGATACATCTAGTTATTTGAATATCATTTTTTATATTCAACGAGGGGTGTTGACGTCAACTGCCTGTTTTCAATAGAGAGTGAGATGCTATGCTAGCCACATGAATATATTTTTTCTCAAAGTTGCTGGGATTTCATATGCATCACACATATCAGTACACTCGTAACAACCTAAGCATTACAAAACGTATATATTACGCCTCATTTATCAAAATTGCAATTTATTTGTATCTTGACTAAATTCAACACTCCTATTGCCTCCCATACAAAAACCCCTAACCTGCTTAATAATTAAGGATCTGCTTAACATGGACATATTTTTGGAAGAGAAAGTGCTCTCGCTTCGCCTCCCTCTGTCTGATATTACTTAGGTGACATTGCCTAATGAACCCTATTTCACCCTCAAATAGTCCGAATTATTATAAGCTCAGCATAAAAATAGATCCGTAATTGATTGTGACGTTTTTTTTCTGAGGAAGTCTTCATTTTACATCTAGCTAAGAAGTTTGGTATTTCTGGATTTTTACAATGTGCCCGACAATTAGCTTAAATTTGTCCATGACATTAGCTTGCTAATGTAGCTCTAAGCTAGTCACTTTGTATAAAATGAATAGGAAGCTAACCTAGTCCACACACTCAATGCTAAACACCAAGTGCTTTCTCCATTAGCTAGCTAGCTAGCAAGCTACTTTAGCTACATTATTTTATCACAATGAATACGTTTTGAAGAAGCAGCTAGCGCTGCCTGATCTGCCGTGAGTCAGTAGCCTCCCGCCAGCTCAGCTGCTGCTGCACTCGCTGACCCCAACGTAACAATCACGGAGAAACATGCTGATCTACGACTGATTTCTGATAACAGTCCCTCTTAATTGGGGCAGCATGCCTACAATGTCAGGGCTTTATTGCTTAATTATACACTGAGTGTACAAAACATTAGGAATATCTTCCTAATATTGAGTTGCACCCCCTTTTGCCCTCAGAAATGCCTCAAATTGTCGGGGCATGGACTCTACAAGATGTCGAAAGCATTCCACAGGGATGCTGGCCCATGTTGACTCCAATGCTTCCCACAGTTGTGTTAAATTGACTGGATGTATTTTGGGTGGTGGACCATGCTTGATAAAAACAGGAAACTGTTGAGCCCAGCAGCGTTGCAGTTCTTGACACACTCAAAGCAGTGTGCCTGGCACCTACTACCATACCCCATTCAAAGGTATTTAAATATTTTGTCTTGCCCATTCACACTTTGAATGGCACACATACACAATCCATGTCTCATTTGTCTCAAGGCTTTAAATTCATTCTTTAACCTGTCTCCTCCCCTTCATCTACACTGATTGAAGTGGATTTAACAGGTCACATCAATATGGGATCATAGCTTTCATCTTGATTCACCTGGTCAGTCTATGTCAAGGAAAGAGCAGGTGTTCCTAATGTGTTGTACACTCAGTGTATGCGTTTCTGGCACCGAGAAATAGGTGCTACACTCCTTTTAAAATCTGATTTTAAATCTATCCCTATCCCTAACATTAACCACACTGCTAACATTATGCCTAATCCTAACCTTAAATTAAGACCAAAAAGCACAGTTTTATTTTCATGAATTTTTATGATATAGCAAATTTGGACTTTGTGGCTGTGGTAACTAGTGACAACCGTTGAGGGACGAGCATCGCGTATGAGTTACGCGATCTGACGTAAGACAATGGGGTAACAATAATGTGTGTGTGTGTGTGTGTGTGTGTGTGTGTGTGACAGAATGACATATGGAATATAGCCTATGTTTATTCCAGTACCTGCCACAAAGCATTACAGTAATGTACGTGTAGATGTGCTTCTGTACATATGAACTACTGTTTATGCGTATTGCTTTCCTCACCTGCCACAAAGCATTATGTGTAAATATGTACACTATATGTTTATGTATGCTTCTGTACATATAAACAAAATGTGTCTATTACGGTATACCTGCCACGAAGCAGACCCTCCACATGCCGGAGTGCAGGGCCATCCTGACCTCCATGCTCTGGTTCTGCTGCAGAATGACACCCTCCTCCATCAGCAGCCAGTAGTCTGTGGACACAGCCACGCCAACCAGGAGCAGGCCGCACGCCCCAAACACCGAGGACAGGAGTGTGAGCGCCCGCGTGCTGAACATGCTCATCTGAGGAGGAGAGGAGAGTGGAGTGAGGAGGTGAGAGGACAGGAGAGGTTTGGGGTCGAGTCTATTTCACTTCAGCTAATTGAGGAGATGAATGGAAACCCTGGTTGAAATGGAGTTGACCTCTACCCTGGTGGGTTTTCTCATCAGGATAACTCAACAGAGATGAACTTACAATAGAGGAACCCCTCTAGTGTTGAGAAAAATGAAGAGAAAGCTTATCCGGATGACTGAACGATCCCTTCTATCACAATGCTTCACATTTCATTGAAGATAATTAACCAAAGAACAGTATCACCTCGTTGTTCTGTCTTCAACTCATCTTAAAATAGCAAAGACTGAGGAAAGTGGAGGCTTATCCACCAGTGTGGTTACATACGTTAACTACTGGTACATATCCGTTAAATACTAGCTTGGTTAAACCAGGCTGAATGTTTCACTCAATGGATTCAGTCTGGTTTAACTAGGCTATAGGTATAGCATAACAGTGAATACATAACCAGTGATAAAAGCAACACAGGGACCACAATACTGTGAATGGAATGACCTCACCATCACAGAGCAGTGTGCAGCAAATTAGAGGTTAGGCTCCTCCACTGATAACAGTGTGGCTTTTCTCACTCAAATGCTTCACTGGTGAGAAGAAAGAAAATAAGAAAAACCTGCATGGGGAGGAGAGGAGGAGAGGAAGAGAGGAGAGGAGAGGAGGAGGAGAGGAGAGGAGGAGAGGAGGAGAGGAGAGGAGGAGAGGAGGAGAGGAAGAGAGGAGAGGAGGAGAGGAGAGGAGGAGAGGAAGAGAGGAAAGGAAGAGAGGAGGAGAGGAGGAGAGGAGGAGAGGAGAGCTACTGTGGTGCCGAACGAATGACCTCATCACTGATTTGAGATGCAGCAGTGCACATTCAGCAATGTCACAATGGATTTTTCTCAATCATGATGACTCACCAGTTACAAATATTTGATATGGTAAAAATCCGGCCTGCCTCCCTCGCGTGAACCCAGTCAACCCAGACCTTCAGAAAGTCGTTGAATAAACAATGTCACCTCAAGGAAAGAGTGACCGAGGGTAAAGGGGGGACTGTGTATGTGTCAAGATTCCATCAAGGCCACCACTGATGATGGGATAGGGGAGGAGCTGGTAAGGAGGTGCAACAGTTAACGTATGTTGTGCTCAGTAGTTGTGTATGACACATACTTGTGTCTGCAAGGTCAAACAGAATGTGAAGATGGCTTCTTCTGTAATAACTTTGTTGACTGTGCGTGTTAGACATGGCAGCCAGAGCGGGGGAAGACACCAGTCTCAAACAGATACTTTAATAATTTTCCTTTAGATTTAAGGGCTTTTCACGCTACTGAGCAACCGAGCCAAGCCAAAACAACCTATACATTGCCTTTGTAAAGGATTCAGACCCCTTGACTTTTTCCACATTTTGTTACATTACAGCCTTATTCTAAAATTGATTAAATAGTTTTTTCCGCTCATCAATCTACACACAATACCCCATAATGACAAAGCAAAAACAGGTTTTTATAAATTTTTGCTAATTTATAATTTTACAAAAACTGAAATATCACATTTACATAAGTATTCAGACCCTTTACTCAGTACTTTGTTAAAGCACCTTTGGCAGCGACTACAGCCTCGTGTCTTCTTGGCTATGACGCTACAAGCTTGGCACACCTGTATTTGGGGAGTTTCTCCCATTCTTCTCTGCAGATCCTTTCAAGCTCTGTCAGGTTGGATGGGGTGCGTTGCTGCACAGCTATTTTCAGGTCTCTCCAGAGATGTTAGATCGGGTTCAAGTCCGGGCTCTGGCTGGGCCACTCAAGGACATTCAGAGACGTGTCCCAAAGCCACTCCTGCGTTGTCTTGGCTGTGTGCTTAGGGTCGTTGTCCTGTTGGAAGGTGAACCTTCACCCCAGTCTGAGGTCCTGAGCACTCTGGAGCAGGTGTTCATCAAGGATCTCTCTGTACTTTGCTCTGTTCATCGGGTCACCACCCTGACCAAGGCCCTTCTCCCCCGATTGGTAACTATGGTCGGGCGGCCAGCTCTAGGAAGAGTCTGGTGGTTCCAAACTTCTTCCATTTAAGAATGCTGGAAGCCACTCTGTTCTTGGGGACCTTCAATGCTGCATACATGTTTTGGTACCCTTCCCCAGATCTGTGCCTCGACACAATCCTGTCTCGGAGCTCTATGGACAATTCCTTCGACCTCATGGCTTGGTTTTTGCTCTGACATGCACTGTCAACTGTGGGACCTTTTATAGACGGTTGTGTGCCTTTCCAATTCATGTCCAATCAATTGAATTTACCACAGGGGGACCCCAATCCAGTTGTAGAAACATCTCAAGGATGATCAATGGAAACAGGATGCACCTGAGCTCAATTTCGAGTCTCATAGCAAAGGGTCTGAATACTTATGTAAATAAGGTATTTCTGTTTTCTATTTTTAATAAATGTGGTAAAATAAAAATTTAACTGTTTTCACTTTTGTCATTATGGGTTATTGTGTGTAGATTGATGAGATTATTATTTGTTTTAATCCATTTTTGAATAAGTCTGTAACATGACCAAATTTGGAAAAAGTCAAGGGGTCTGAATACTTTCCGAAGGCACTGTACATAGTTGTTGGAACCGTTCTAAAAAGGACAATGTGAAAAGAAAATATCCAAGCCAGCACAGTTTGGTTTGGGTCGGCACAATGTGTGGAAAGGTTAATAGATACCATCTGGCCTTATGGATGGAACATATTCAGTACAGAGTACATTGAGTAAGAGGCATGGAACGTGGACAGGGTCAATCCCTCATGGGTCATTCATTGTGTGCTCTAACATTTTGAAGTGAGGAAAGATGTGAGAAAGAACAATTCCCTTGATTCATCATTCCTTTGAAACACACTTGTAACACGAAGAGACCTATGTTTCTCTAAGATGGGGCATTGGGGTGGATGAGATTCCCTTTGTAGTTAAAGCCTACAGAATAAACCACAATTCTCATGCTGCCACCTCAGCTAGGTATATGGAGAAAAATAAATCCATATTGCGATAAATTGCCTGAATTTATGTGATGACGATAAATAGAACCATAAGTTTATAACATTAATTTGCACCACTGTTTTTTTAATTATCCTTCAAACTACTACTACTAGTTTGATGGTTGTAACTATCAATTTTGCAATTAGCAATCACCAATATTAGCAAACTTATTTCATGTTAAATGTCACATTTCTCTAGTATAGGCTACATATCATAATGAACAATATCAGCAAAATATTCCTGTGATAAGTGATCGGTATGGTCGGTGTCGATCATTTTTTGTTTATCGTCCCAGCTCTAGGCTCCACCACTTTATCTTGGGACTGGGAGAGCTTAGGTGTCCGGGAGCAAATGTAATGAATGCCACATGAATGGGGGGATGAATAGTGAATGGTGCTTTATGTTATAGCATGAAGGAGGGAGGGAATCCATGGAGGAAGGGATAAATAAAAGAAGGGATCAGTAGAGGGAGAGTTTGGAGAGAGAGAGAGAGAGAGAGAGAGAAGCTTCAAGGGAATAATGTTTGAGGTCAGTGAGAGTGTGGATCTGTCCACTAGTATGGTGCTGAAATAACAGAATAATGGATAGCGTGAAACTAAGAGTTTGGAGAGAGTGCGAGAGAGAGCGAGAGAGAGAGAGAGAGAGAGAGAGAGAGAGAGAGAGAGAGATAGAGAGAGAGAGAGAGAGAGAGAGAGAGAGAGAGAGAGAGAGAGAGAGAGAGAGAGAGAGTGTGGCCTATGGGGAATATGTTTGAGGTCATGGTTAGAGTGTGGAGCTGTCCACTAGTGAGGTGCTGAAATACCAGAAAACTAGATAGTGTAAAACCAAGGGCACTTCTAGCCTATAGTCTCATGTATGCGTCCAGGAACGATACTGTACTGGGTCAGCTCCTTTTTGTAGCTTAAATAGCAAAGTTCACACTTAATTAATTAGCTAGGTTTATTCATTAAGGCAGTCATTTGGGGTCATTAATATACAGGTGTTAATAAGTGTGTAATAATATTCATAAGTTTGATTACTTAAGACCTTCCACCAGTGAGGAATGGCGCCATTCAGGGAATAGGCACTTTACTTGGGGTATGGTGCACTGTAGCACTCAGCATATAGGGTTGTGGTAAGAATACATAAAGCGTCTGCTAAATGACTAAAAATGTCAATGTAAATAGCATTATCCATTATCTTAACATGTCATTAGTAGTGAATCCAATGTCAGCATGCATGAAAACATTGGTGTTGAAAATGTTCCAAGTGTCATGTTGTACCTCAATTGGTAGAGCATGGCGCTTGTAACGCCAGGGTAGTGGGTTCGATCCCCGGGACCACAATACGTAAAAATTTATGCACACATGACTGTAAGTCGCTTTGGATAAAAGCGTCTGCTAAATGGCATATTATTATTATTATTATGTTAATGGTATAACTTGACATGAAATGTCATAATGTGTTATGACTGGTGTCATGTAATTCTAATGAGTGTGTTTCGACCATGAAATAGAGGTGTTATGACATACATCTTAGGTACAGTCAAATGGGACTAGGGTTCTCTCAATGAAATGTAGCAGATCCAGCGACTTTCAAGGACACACAGCTAAATGTTTAATATGTGCATTCAGGCTTCTGCAGATTAAAGAATCAAATCGGAAGAAATACTTGGTATACTATGCAGAGGCACAGTGCTTCATTGTGCATTGTCTCCCTAGAACAGCATTGCATTAAACGTCGTAGTACAGTATGATGGAAAGTGGAAGGGAAATAAAGGATGGATGGATGAGGCAATTTGGAGCAATCATGGGTCAAGTGGACCAAGACAACTGCTGAGTGGTACAGGATCTACAACTCCCAAGGCACCGGGACCAGCCCCACAGATGGTATTCCCAGATAAGCGTCCAATGAAGGCTCAGGAGGGGTGTTGTTTTCTGTTGAGGCGGCAATATGTTCCACAGTCAGCAGGCTCGGCCAACTGGCATGAAGAATGCAGTATTTAAAGCAGGGATGGGAAAGTAGGTGGTCTGACATCGGCTTCTTGAATGAGAAGAACCACGCACAGGAGAAAGTACGTGAACAGCACAGTAATGTACAGAGTGCAGTACATTGTATGCATGTACAGAGTGCAGTGCATTAAAATGCATGAATGACAGAGATAACGAACATCAAATGTGCTCAATAAGGGAAGATAAACTGTATGGGGGGAGAGAGAGAGAGAGAGAGAGAGAGAGAGAGAGAGAGAGAGAGAGAGAGAGAGATGGGAGAGAGGGTTGGGAGAGATGGGGATGGAAAGAGAGAGAGGGATGGGAGAGAGAGGGATGAGAGAGAAGAGAGAGAGAGAGAGAGAGAGAGAGAGAGAGAGAGAGAGAGAGAGAGAGAGAGGGGAAAGAGAGGGGGGGGGAGACATGTCTGGGGACCTTGGCCCAAATAATGTTAGGAGAATCCAAGCTCTCAGATTGAGCCTACACACACTTAGGAGTGTCACATGCCTGTACATGGCCAACTATACCTACAGTTACAGGCACTAACCACCATTCACAAATACATCCATGATCTATGGACAGCCATGTCTGTTTTCTTTAGCATTATATGCTGAGGCATTGAAGGCTATTAAGACTGACTGAAAGAGACAGGGATAACCCATCCAAGCATTTAAATTGGACACCCAGAGCCACACTTTTTTACCACTCGTTCGCTCTCTATCTCTCCTTCTCCTCTTCCTCTCTCTCTCCTTCTCCTCCTCCTCTCTATCTCTCCTTCTCCTCCTCCTCTAGTTCTCTTTCCTCCTGTCACACACCCATCAAAAACTCGACACACACACACAATTTTAAACATGCACATGGACCCAGATACACAACAACTAGGCTACTGCAGCACACATCATATACCACCATCTTCCCCTCAGGTTCCCAAAGTAACAGGCATACCACTCACTTCAGTCAGTGCGCCTATAGCACCGCAATGAACAACGCTCGCCAGTGGCAAATGCGACACGCAAATGATTCTAATTACCAAGACATGTCATGGGAAGGAAATATTCATAAAGATAACATTCTCAGAGCCTGCCACACGCACATCTTGCGGAGAGCGAGAGAGCGAGAGAGAGACCCGAGGCAGTACAACGACAGACAGTGCTTTTTCAAAATTTCTAACCCAAATGTCAGTTGCATACATTTCCTGTGTGTATTCAGCTAGACTAAATAGACGAGGCAAATGTTACAGACAAACTGACTGTAGCCCACAACACTCTGACAGACCGACATCACCACGAAACGTGTGAACTGCTATAACCCAAAATGAAAACTATGATGATGTATGATGAGACATTTAGACATTTTTTAAGACGGTTTATTAAATTAATGGTAATTTGTATAGCGCAATGATGACACATAAGCACTAGGCACTACTCACCCTTTCCGACCGTCCAAATGAATTGTGCAGCCGTCGAAAGATCCGCGCGCTAGGGAGCCTTTTCAGATTGTGCAGTTTTCCTTTTGCGCCCCCTTTCGCTCTCTCTCTCTCTCTCTCTCTCTCTCTCTCTCTCTCTCTCTCTCTCTCTCTCTCTCTCTCTCTCTCTCTCTCTCTCTCTCTCTCTGACTCTGACTCTCTCTCTATCGTGTGTTTTCCCGTATCGCCCCCTCGCTTCTCTCTCTCTCTCTCTCTCACTCTCTCTCTTTTGCCCCCCTCCTTTCACTCACTCTCTATTTCAGCACTGCGGAGAATCGGTTGAATGGGTATACCGAGGATGGCGCGGGAGATGCGTGAGATGGTGGGAAGCGAGGGGAAGCGCCACACAGAGGGAGGGACAGCAAGCCGCGACAGCAAGTGAAGACCTTCTACTGTTGCAAGGAGACAGCCAAAAAACACACGACACGGAGGCAAGCACTGACACCCAGTTGGGTTGGCTATCACACTCACGCAAGTGCGCGCCCGCACGCAACAAGCAACACGCACACACACACACACACACACACACACACACACACACTCACACACACACACTGCATTCAACGTGGTATGGAGAGAGAGGATAAATGAGGACAATGATTATGCTACCAGTCTTGCGCAACAACACAGTGCTACTTGGAAACATTTAAGTGATTCATCCATTTACAGTAACATTTAAATTGAAACAGAGAAAGAACATGGAAGCATATAGAAACTGCTCATGAGTTAGAGTCAAATGAGGACTTACATTACAAAAGGGGTTTTAGGGAGTGGTGTGATAATCACAGACAATGTGTATGGTTTTAAATCATATATCAATAATATTTTATGATCAGAAATATATTTGATGCATATTTAAAATGGCATGTGAGTGAGCTGCACTGGCTTGTAGTGTGAGCTGAAGTTGTACTGTTGTAAGGGATATTATTATGTATAAGGGAAGGGGAGGGGAGGAGGGTTTGGTTGTAATGGCTCAGTTAAGAGTGCTGCTCCACAGCATGACATGCACCGCTCTGCTTCTATGCCTACGGCCATCTGCACAGCCGCACACACGCGCGCGCACACAGACACACTGGCGATACTGACTTCGTGGTCACCCAGATGTGTAAATCGCCAAGGAGGGTGTGTGTGTGTGTGTGTTTATGCTTGCATGAGTCCATACATGCTCGAGCAGTCACATTAACCTTAAAAGACTGATAGGAATGGCTGTGAGTCACAGGGGCATGTGGAAGCAGTGTGGTTGGTCAGCATTGGAATCGATCCCTTTCCAAACCACACACAACCACCACATACACGACCGACTGTACCGCCTATCCTGCCTAATAGACTGAAAGGTCACAAAGTAGAACAGACATTATTTTATTGATGGGGGAAATTAGACCTTTCGACAATATGGATGCTATCACCATAGCTGTCAATCATGGTCTGATCTGATGCTCTTTGACATTTAGCATAAAGTTTCCATTAAATTTGCATGAGTCGTTAGCCATTAGCTATTTCCAGGTGCTCTTTGGCTTATATTTAAGCAATAAGGCCCGAGGGGGTTTGGTATATGGCCAATATTCCATGGCTAAGGGCTGTTCTTATGCACAACTCAACGCAGAGTGCCTGGATACAGTCCTTAGCCGTGGTATATTGGCAATATAACACAAACCCCTGAGATACCTTATTGCTATTATAAACTGGTTACCAACATAATTAGAACAGTAAAAATAAATGTTTTGTCATACATCGTGGTATATGGTCTGATATGCCACGGCTTTCAGCCAATCAGCATTCAGGGCTCGAACCACCCAGTTTATAATAATGGATAACTCCCTGTTTGATGTACTTGAGTTTAACTGTTCACCACTATGGCGCCTTTGCATAGATCAAGGTGATTGGGAACTGCAGTGGAATTGTAGCTTGGTCCCAGATATGTTTGTGCTCTCTTCCCAACTCTTATGGTGACAAACATATCTTGGACCAGAATTGTAGAATCTTTAAGCACTGGGGAAAAGAGCCGAAATCTGAGATAACTAAAGAGACATGACTGTTGCATGCACACCAATGGTCCATTGCCACAAACATGAGACGGGTAAAGGTGATCTATGACAAAATCTATAATAGGATGCAAGAGTCAAAAACCAGAGACAACTTTATATCTTACTGAAATGGATATGTTAAACGGAAACCTTAATTAGAATACAATCCTGTTAACAGAGGGGCTTGTAGGCTATATCGACCCAAACACCCCAACCTAGCTCAGGGAACACCAACAACACTAAGAGGAGAAGAATAGTCTTAATAGTTCATCATCCCTCCCTCTTTCTTCCCCTTTGTATTCCTCTGTGGCCTCCCCCTCCTCCTTTCTCTCTTTTTCCCAGTCTATTTTTAGATGCATGCTAGGGAAATCCAATACATGAATAGTGATATAAATAGCATGCTGTACATTGACCACCACGCATGAAAGAAACACGTAAGAAACATAGAAAACTGCTTAGAATTTCTGATTAATATTGATACTTGAACCTATGCCAATGAATATACATTTCCAGTATGGCAAGATAAAGAGAACAAAGCTATAACAGGAATGTTACAATATAATCTGCCTACGTTTATGTATATGAAGATGCCACATGCATCAAACGTGTTTACATGTGTTTGATTGGGGGGTGTGTCCTGTTGGAAATTCCCACTCTCCTTATAAAGATTGTCTTGAATATTTTCAATGTCATTACCTTGTTGCTGTGACAACCATGACTTCAAAGAAATTATTTCAGAAGAAAAAGGTGTGAGAGTGAGAGGGAGAGAGAGAGAGAGAGAGAGAGAGAGAGAGATAGAGAGAGAGAGAGAGAGAGAGAGAGAGAGAGAGAGAGAGAGAGAGAGAGAGAGAGAGAGAGAGAGAGAGAGAGAGCGAGAGGGAGATTCAGCAAAAAACAGAGGGGTTTGACAGTGAGCTGGGAGTTTGGGATGGGGAGGGAGGAGAAGAGGAGAGAAGAAGAGGTGAAGAAGAGGGGGAAGCAGTTGAGGTGCGGTCTATGGAGAGAAAGGAGGGGTATGAGCATGTACAACAAAGTGATGAGATACGTGGATGGGATACAAACGCTGGAATTAACAAGCAGAGAGAGATGTACCTCAACAGTAATGTATATACAGTAGCTACAGTGCCTTCAGAAAGTATTAAACCCCTTGACGTATTCCATATTTTGTTGTGTTACAGCCTGAATTCAAAATTGATTCAATATTTATTTTTTCTCACCGACCTACAGACAATACCCCATAATGGCAAAGTGAAAACGTTTAGTTTTTTTGCAAATGTATTGAAAATGAAATACAGAAACGTCTTATTTTCATAACAATTCACACCTCTGAGTCAATACATGTGTTGTGGAAAGTCTTACACAGGGACACTCGAAGTCATTCTTAAATTAATCATTCTTTATTATCAGCGCGTTGGAGAGGTTCCAACCAACTCAATGCATGAAGTACACATGTCGATTAGGAGTTCTAACGAGGCAGTCCCGTTAGTACCCTTATATACTGACAAGTTATATTTGCATGATTTAGCTTATTCATCATTCATAATTAATGTTTGCTTCATTCATGTGACGACCAATACTGGGTCATGCATGTGACAGACCAATACCTCACAAGGTTTCTTCTCTCTAAGCTGAGACCTTGAAACTGAGATATCCCTTTCTCTAAACAAGGTTCTGGGCGTACTGCCAAATTGCAGATACTGATAGTATTTGGACATTATTTTTGTATTTATTCTTCAAGCTCTGTCAATTTGGTTGTTGATCATTGCTAGACAGCCATTTCAAGTCTTGCCATAGATTTTCAAGCCAATTCAAAACTTTAACTAGGCCACTCGGGAACATTCAATGACATCTTGGTAAGCAACTCCAGTGTATATTTGTCCTTGTGTTTTACAGTGAGGGAAAAAAGTATTTGATCCCCTGCTGATTTTGTACGTTTGCCCACTGACAAAGAAATTATCAGTCTATAATTTTAATGGTAGGTTTATTTGAACAGTGAGAGACAGAATAACAACCAAAAAATCCAGAAAAACGCATGTCAAAAATGTTATAAATTGATTTGAATATTAATGAGGGAAATAAGTATTTGACCCCTCTGCAAAACATGACTTAGTACTTGGTGGCAAAACCCTTGTTGGCAATCACAGAGGTCAGACGTTTCTTGTAGTTGGCCACCAGGTTGGCACACATCTCAGGAGGGATTTTGTCCCACTCCTCTTTGCAGATCTTCTCCAAGTCATTAAGGTTTCGAGCCTGATGTTTGGCAACTCGAACCTTCAGCTCCCTCCACAGATTTTCTATGGGATTAAGGTCTGGAGACTGGCTAGGCCACTCCAGGACCTTAATGTGTGTCACGATCGTCGGTGAGAGAGGAGGAACAAGGTGCAGCGTTGAATGCGAACATAATTATTATTTATAATGATCACACGATCAAAACAACAAAACGAAAACGTGACGTCCCTGGTTACATACACAAACCAACACGGAACTAGAAACCACAATGAATGAATGCCAAACGGCTACCTAAGTATGACTCCCAATCAGAGACAACGAGCTACAGCCGTCTCCGATTGGGAGCCACCCTGGCCAACATAGATATACAACAACTAGAACCAACACACATGAAAACTCACACCCTGGCTCAACATACTAGAGTCCCCAGAGCCAGGGCGTGACAATGTGCTCCTTCTTGAGCCACTCCTTTGTTGCCTTGGCCGTGTGTTTTGGGTAATTGTCATGCTGGAATACCCATCCATGACCCATTTTCAATACCAGGCTAAGGGAAGGAGGTTCTCACCCAAGATTTGACGGTACAAGGCCCCGTCCATCGTCCCTTTGATGCGGTGAAGTTGTCCTGTCCCCTTAGCAAAAAAACACCCCCAAAGCATAATGTTTCCACCTCCATGTTTGACGGTGGGGATGGTGTTCTTGGGATCATAGGCAGCATTCTTCCTCCTCCAAACACGGCGAGTTGAGTTGATGCCAAAGAGCTCGATTTTGGTCTCATCTGACCACAACACTTTC